TATCAGATTCCATTATATTCTGGGTCTGGGGAGTCCATCTAATTCCTTCCTTTAAACATAACATTTTTCTGCTGCTGGACTTTGTTCTTTTGCAAATTTATGAGGCTGTAAGATACAAACTGTGGTATCTGTGCATACAGATACCACAAATTTGCAAACTTACCTGTGTGAAATCTTCCAAAAATTCAGAACTCTACTAAAAGGCTACTGTTGGAAAGGTCTCCTGCACCTTGAATTAGATCATGTTATGTGATATGTGAACTACATCATATGATCCAGCATGGGTTGCAATTATGACAGGGCTTCAGGGTTAATCTAAACTTGCCTTCTTGCACCCCAGTTTTTTTTGTTTCAGATTAGTTCCATGCATTGATTATCTGTTCCATATCTGTAAAATTTTATACCAAAATAGACAATCCATCTATGTAACTGATACCTTCACAACACTTGCATCCCTAGATGATACTATTTTTAACTAAGATTATTAAATCTTAGTTAAAGGGATTGAGAGGGGTGACTTCATTACTCTCTAAAGAGGGGTGAAGTGGAGAGGAAGGTCTCCTCTGGTATCCAGTGACAGGACATGTGGGAATGGTTCAAAGCTGCACCAGGGGAGGTTTAGACTGGACATTAGGAAGCATTTCTTTACCAAGTGGGTGGTCAAACACTGCAACAGGCTTCATAGAGAGGTGGTCAATGCCCCAAGCCTGTCAGTGTTTAAGAGGCATTTGGACAATGTCCTTAACAACATGTTTAACTGTTGGTGAGCCCTAAGTGGTCGGGTGGTTGGACTGATGGTAGCTGTGTGTCCCTTCCAACTGACAGGGCTCTATACTATTTTATCCTATTCTATTTTATCTCTTAGCTAAGAAAGTAGGATTTCTCCATTCTCAGCATTTCACAGGGATGATAAAACTGAGAACTCCTCTGTTGGTTGCTTCATATATTACTGGGTTTTTCATTGCTTAATCACAGTATTTAATGCTTAAAGAGTTTCACTGGAGCTGTAGTAGTGTGGTTTGTAGTTTCTGCATTCTGTTTTGAACACAGAAATATTCCCTTGAGTTTCTGATCAGAAATTGAGCTATGTAAAACTACACACTAGTTTTTCAATGTGTTGAAATACCTGCCATCTTATTTCACACATCTGAAGATATTTGTAACATCTTAGAAACATTTGAAAATAAATTCATGTGATTCCTGTCCGTCATGAGATGTAATATTGTGTTCAAACATGTAATTGCACATTCTCTCTGCCTTGAAATTTGCTGATGTTCCTTCTCTACTGCTGCTTCCTGTGAATTTACATTTATTATTATTTGTCTTGTGCCAGAGGTTCCGATCTGCAGTTAAATAAGCTTCCAAGCACAGTCTTCCCTTCTCAATCTGCAAAATTAGTTCACATTATTAACAAAATAATAAACTTGGTGTGGGTGAAGCACTGTTGCTGTCCTGTGCTTCCTGTCTAAGCTTTCCTGATTCACACTCTGGCTTACTTCAGTCTTACTGGTACACTGAATGTAGCAAATGTATCTACTTTTTGAGGTTTTAATTGCCTCTGTCCTTACAACTTTACTAGCAGACTATTGCCTCATTATTAACGTTAATCTCTCCCCTTCCCTGTCACATTTAATCTTTTCCACAGAAGAAGAAAGTTTGAATTGCATTTTTGTATTCCACAGGTTAGGAAGAATCACTGGAGGTCAGCTGGTCCAACTCTGCTCAAAGTCAAACCAGTTCTGATGTTATATTACATCATCCAGGTCCTTGTGCAGTTGAATTTTGAAAATTTCCAAAGGCAGAGGTTTTGTAGCTCTACTGGGCAGTCTGCTCCATTCCCCAATTCTTGGTATTCTTTTACTACAAAGTAGAATTTCCGGTGTTTCAACTTGTCTGTTGACTCTTGTCCTTTCACTTTGCACCCCTTAGAAGTAAAGCCTCATTTCAGCTTCTGTTGAGGCCAACCATTTGTTCATCCTAAGTTGAACAATTCAGTTCTCTCAGCTTCTCTATGAATACCATGTGAAGCATCCTGGTGGACTTCCATGAAGCTGGCGAATGCTTTGATATTTTTCGCGCACTGAGGACCCCAAAGTTAGACATAGCATTCCAGATATGGTTTCACAAGTGACAAATAGAGGAGGAAATCTGCTTCCCACTTCCCTCAACCTACTGGCTATGGATTTACCCATGCAGACTTGTACACAGTCAGTGTAAAGACTGGCTGCTTGTTCCTCTTTGCTTGGCTTATTGTCCACCGAGGCTGTCAGGTCCTCTTTCTCGAAGTGCCATCCTATACTGTCGTGTGATGTTGCATTCCAGCTCCAGGACTCCGCACATGCTGTTGTTGAACTCTGCGAGCTTCCTGTCAGCTCATTTACTTGTCCTGTCTGGGTCATTCCTAAAAGCCGCCCTGCCCTCCAGTGTATCAACTTTGAACTTAAAACCACTGACTGTGACTCCAGCAAGTATTCCACTCACCTGGTAACTTCTCTGTGCAATCCATGTTGGCCTTGTTTGGCTACAAAGATGCTTTGAGATGCTGTGTTGAAAGTCATGCTGCAGTATAGGAAAGGATGTATGTACTGCTCTCCGCTTGTGCACCAAGACAGACATCTTGTCATAGAAGGAAATCAGGTTAATCAAACACAGTTTGTCCTTTTTAGATCCATTCTGGCCATTCTTATCCTTTCTTGTCCATCAAGTGTTTGGAAGCAGATTCCAGAAGGATTTGCTCCGTGCTTGTTGTAGGCAGTGTGGTCAGCCTGCTGGTCCATCCTGTAGCTTTCTGAATCCTCGTTGTTGCCCTTCTAGAGCACAGACATGACATCTACCCTTTATCAGTAATCAGGAGCCTCCCCAGGTTGCCATGACCTTTCAAAGGTGATAGAGAACAGGCTGGTAGTGGTGTTTACTGGCTTGTTCAACATACTGGGATGCATCCTGTCTCATGACCTGGTGTACATCAAGTTAGTTTATTGGTCCTTAACTCTAACTTCCCCTACTGCAATACTTTGCTACTCCACACTCAACTATTACCTTCAGGGAGATGGGAGGCCTGTGAGCAGAGCTTGAGAGTGAAGTCTGAGGCAAAAAAGATCATTGAGTACCGTGGTCTTCTCCATGTCCATGGCACTAGATCCCCTACCTCACTGAGAGCAGCAGGCCCATATTTGCCTCATTCTTTCTTTTATTGCCAGTGTATTTATAAAGGCTCTCGTTGCCCTTCATTACCCTGGCTAGTTTCAATTCCAGCCAAACTTGGCTTTCCCAATTCTGTCTTTGCTTGTTTGAGACATTCCTGCTGGATCACTCGTACCCGTTTGGGACATCTCTGCTTCCGTGGTCCAAACCTTTGCCTTTTGTGCTTGACTTGAGGCAGAGGTTGTCCATTTAGCTGGACTGGCTCCACCCTGCCATTCCTGTTCAATTTCTAGCTAACTAGAACAGACTGTTCTTGTGCTATGAACATGTCATCTTTGAAGATCAACCCACTCCTCTGCCCTTCACAGCAGCTTTCCACAGGATCCTGCCAGTGAGTTTCCCAATCAAGCTGTAGTCTGTTCTTCTGAAGTCCAAGCTCTGCTATTTTATTTCCTCATTTCTGTTAAGAGTCTTAAGTTCTACCACAGTTGCTTCAGCTAAGGCTCCCATAGACTTTGTCTTCCTGGGCCAGATCATTCTTGTCTGTGGGTAATAGACCAGAGTGCCTCCCTGATTTGGCTTACTGCTTGCTTGGAACAAAATAAATGTTCTCGATAGTCAGGCATCTCCTGGATTGCTTGTAGCCTGCCAAGCTACTCTTTGTAAATATGTAGGAATGGTTAAGCTATTTACTAGATGTTCATTATCATTAACTTCTTCGGACTGTATCATCTTTAATGTCATACTGGATTAACTGTCTCTCTGATCCTTTTTTCCTCCTGTATTCAGATCTGAGATCCTCTTTCATGCCTTTCTAGGGATCAAATTCCATGGTATTTGACCCTAAACAGGGATCTCACAATATACACCTCTACTCCTCTCTGAATATAAGCATCCACAGCTTTTCATAGAATTTCATGCTCTTCCCTGGTAGAGTTCTTGCTCCAGCCACCTGGTTTGCTTTGTTTTGCTTCCTCTCAGTGTGTGCGGGTGCTTGCCATGCCTAAGAAAGATTACCTCCTGTATTATGGATTCCATTCATTGCTTCCATTATCTTTTGTCCTTGTAATAAGAATAGACTTAAAAAATGCATTTAGCCAGGAATGCATTCATAGCATGCTTCATTTGCAAAATTAAAGAGTCTAGGACCTTGCGTGTTTTTAGAATTTGTCAGAGATCAGAATTTTGCTGGTTTCCCTTACGGATTCTCACAACTGCCAACAAGACACATACTGACAGCCAGAGCTTGTCTTCAGAACGTTATACCAGAGAATACTTGAACAGAGCATTGTAGACATCATTTTAAGAAGTGTAGCGAACACCAAAAAGCACTTTGAGATGGCCAGCAGTTACATACACATAGGTAAACTTGAGTCAATGTGTTGGATGGAATGAATGAGTGGATCTGAAGTCATGTCTTTGCATGATCCCTACATGAAGGTTATATGCCTTGCCATTTGACTGCTGTTGAACCCTCCAGGTGTGTAGGAGCAGGTTGCAGCTGCAGTGGTTTTGTGTGTACCAAGTCCTCTACCTCTGCACAACAGGCATCTCTGCCTCTCTTCATTGCCAGAGTCTTCTTGTGAGCTTTTGAGTGATTATTAGAGGTGTGAAATGAGAATCAGCAAAATCCAAAAGACATTTCAGTTGTTATAGCTAAAGGTAGAGGGTTAATGGTTTCCAAAGAATAATGAAAGGGGATATTTAGAGTGACTGCAGATTTCAAGTATTATCAAGAAAACTCTAAACATTTAAATACAAATAGCTTATTTTTACTCTAAATGAAAAAATATAGAGAAAATTCTTGTATTCTGTTAATACATGCATTATCACAACTTCTACTTGATTTGTTTTAGATGAGAAGATTGTGGAAAAAATCCGAGCTTTACAAATGAAAGCTGAAGACTATGATGTTGTAAAGGTGATTGGAAGAGGGGCTTTTGGAGAAGTGCAACTGGTAAGAATGTAATGATTTAATGCTAGCCAAAACCTTCCTCAGTTTTCCACACTTTATACCTAAAAATGCATTCTTATAAAGAATAAGTACTATTTTCATTGTACCATGAGGTCATTTCTGCACATAGTAGACAGTACATTCGAGTTTAAAATGTGATGGATTGGAAGGGAAGGACTTGGGAAATAGTTTGTTATCCTTTGATCAATGTCAAAAAAGCAGTTCATGGCAATTCTAAATTTTTTTGACCACAAGCTTCACTGTATAATAATGTCTGAAACCTTCCTATGAAAGAGCAAGTATATAGTGTGACAAAAGAATTTTGTTTTGCTCTTATAATTGTAATGCTTGCATTGTATTTAACTGACATGACTCAGGATTTTTAAAAGATTCATTTTTTGACATTGTCCCCTCAACATTGTATGCTCTATAATATCTGAAGTAAGAATGAGATTACTTTGTAAATTTTTATTGTAGAGAAATTTTATTTAAAAAAAAGGCAAACTACAAAAAAACCCTTGGTGCATCACACATAATCTGATTTTCATTTAATTTTGGTTTTTCCCAGACTTCCAAGTCCTAATGTGTGATAAGTGACACAAAAATGTGCACATATGTATAAGATGGATTGATATGTCAGTTTTGAAATAAGCCTTGGATGTAAGCACCAAATAGAATCTGAAGTATAAACAGCAGGGACAAGTTATCATGAGTTTACAGATAACTGTGCACCAGCTAATCCAGGATACTTTTCTCTATGAGCATTTTTAGTGGAAGAGAGCTGTGGAGCAAGTAAATGGAAAGTGGAGCAACTAATTTGCAGCAATTGAAGCTTGTTATCTTGTTACCACAAGGTAACAAAAATTACCCTTTTGCTTTTTGACATGGAACTGACATTTTACTGTTATGTGCTATTTTTGCACTAGGAAGCTGCGAAAATTATATTGTGTTTTAATACATAAGCATTTTGGAAAATACAAAGATGTGTTGGGGTTTTGTTGAGGAATGTGGTAAAATCTAAGCTGTGAAGTGCTTATAGAAGGTATGCAGTGTATAATGGTAATACATTTATGATCCATTTATAAAATTCTTTGTATTTTCCATATTAGCATTGGTGAAATTAATGGAAACTGGGGAAGAAAACCTAAAATTAGCCTGAAACTGTGACTAGAGTAAAGCTATTTGCATGACTAATGGGTAATTTGCAAATTTAGATGTGATTAATGCGGCAGATAGCAACATGTAATCAGCAATTTTTATTCATTTGTGTCATTTTTGAGACACCTTTATCCAAGTCTGGCAACATGAGAATGTAGCACCCTCTTAGCTATTTTTATCAGGGTCATTTGCACTTTGTTTTTATCCAGAAGAATGTATGAAGTCTGCAGTGGAGTATTTCCAAAAATCTCCATTTTCTAACAAGACTTTAAAAAATTAATATGTATCTTTATATGATTTTATATCCTTGCTGGCAAGAAATTAAAACCAAAACCAGAACCTTCAGCAGAACCTTACCTATGTGTGAAAGGGCTGCTGCAAGGAACTTTGTAAAAAAGCAGGCTATTCCTTGTCTTTTCATTGACAGACACATCAAATGGTTTGTTTTAAAGTCCCTGATTAGATGTTTTTATCTTTATGTATATCCACTTGTAGCAGCAAATAGAGACTCTCCTTTTTCATATACTTGCATGTGAAGTCAGTGAAAAGTCAAGTCATAAGGAGCAGAGTTCCTCGTCTATTTGCTGAGTAGGGATGAGATGAAAAAGAGAAGATCCCAATAACAGAAGCTGTGCCTTTTTTGGGTGTCACACTCATATATTTGCTGGAAGGATCCAAGAGAATTGTATTTTTGATGTGCTTCAAAAATGAAGATGCATTTTCATATATGTATTTCTAAAGACAGAAGGGTTTTTCTAAATAATCCATGTCATGCACAGTTTAGATTTTGAAAAAGAGCTGAGTTTTCTTTGTCCGTGCTGCAGTTAGGCAGTTTGAGGGATCTGAAGACAAACTATTTTTCATTTGCCTGACCATGAAAATGGCAAAATGCTTGATAACCTGGTTATATAATAATGAGTTTTGGGTTTTGTTGTTGTTATGTTGGGTTTTTTTTATTCTTTAATAAGCCCTTCAAAAAAGCAGGAATGCTTCGCGCTGGAGGGGAACTTCTGTGTGTTCATACAGAACTCTTCTGTACTTTATGTCAATTTAAGAGAACACCATTTTTCTGTAATGTAAAAATATAAGTTGAAATCATAATGTTATGCAGTCTTACAGCTAAAAAGCAGTGGGCTAATAAATACAATTGCAGATCTGAACTAATATTAGCTGCTGATGTGGACAGACATACCTAGATTTTTTGCCTCACAAGGTATGATACAAATTTAAACTATTGAGCTAAGCTATATCTATTTCTACTTCATTTAAAATGTTAACACCACTGTTGCGGATGATGGATTTGCAGTAAGCAAAATATTTTGCAATGCTTTCTGCGATCAAAATAGGAATTTGCTTCAGTGGGGACTCAATGCAGAAAGAACCATAAATAAAACATGATTAACTATGTGAATTAATGAATTTTTTGTTATCAGTGTGTGCTGTTGTGCATAGGTATTTGTAGCACAAATATTTATTATATGTTTCTAATGATTATATTAGAATGCTTATTTTTTGGCTTGTAATATTTACAGCATAAAATAGGCAGCTATGACCTCTGTCATTTAATTTTATTTTCCCCATGTCTTCTGGTCCAGTATAGCATTTTCTTGTTGAAGTGATCAGCTTTCCAGATTCTTTCAGAAAAGGGAAGTAAATTCTCTACTGTTGTGTCTTACAGTTAGATTGTATTTAAAAGCCTCACTTTTCTCCCTTCCTCTCCCCTCCAAAAAATTAAAAAAATTCAATCCAGTAAAGAGAGATCAGATGATTCTGGTTTGAGCATCTGACTTTGGTGGAAAAACAATTTCCTTACAGCTCCAGAAGTATTAAACTCTACACTTGAGCTCTGGTCTCTGGTTTTACTGGGTCTGGGGAAAGCTAAGAAAATAATTGCCAGCTGCCAGACCACTTCTTCTTTTATGCAGTGCCGTGAATAAAAGTGACTGGTGTTTGGGCAGACAGAAAAATTGAATTATGGTGCTTAATATGTTACTTGTGGTTTATGCAGAAACAGTAATTTATGAAAGCACATCCTGAGTACCTCTTGTTTGTTTTCACTTGAGGAAAAATCCTCTTGATTTGAAATTGAAACTTATCCTTAGTCCCTTCTCCCAGATCTAACCATGAAGGACTGCAACATTGCAGTGACACACCAGACTGACTTGGTCATGTACTGGAAGAGAAAACTAAAGCAAAGCTAAAGCTTTCTTGTGTTTGAGTGCTAAAGGATGGTGTGGTTGTCAGTCTTTACTGTGTGATTTCTTAGTGCTGCAAACCAGCAGTTGTCATGACCTGCGTAAAGAGGTGCTGGTTTACTTTTTTCCATTAAGTGCTTTGTTTATTAGGTTTAGTTCCCTGTCCGCTGCTGTTGTGCAGCTCTGTAATAGAGCAGATAAAGTCGTGGTTTGTTACCTGAAAATTTGTCAGAATATGAACTTCAGTGCCCTATCCATAGTCATGTGTTATGCCTCTATTAAGTATTTTAGGATACTTGTGATTACTTCAAGCCTTGGAGTTAATTTCAAAACTCCACTCTAGGACCTTCATTTTCTTTTAATCATAAAAGAGACTGTACCATTGCTAATGCTGCATATTCAATCTGATAACTTCAAATAGATATGTTATTTTCTTTACCTATAGATTATCTTCTGGTGTGGATGCTGTAGAAATTATGGGTGCATTTTGCGTGTACTCCTTTACTGAAAGTCTTAGATTGTTGAAGCACAGTAGAGTGAAATTCTTTTTTCTTAATGCATTTTCATGAGTTAAATGAGGCCATGTTACTCAGTGCTAATGGCATGAAGGGATTTTCCTACCTATTTTGAGAGTTACTGTGATGAGCTGCAGTTTAAATTTGGCAGGTCCTTTTAACAGTTGGAAGAAATTGAAACATCATGACAGTTTAATACATGAATAATCTGCTGTATGAGCCAATATCTGTATGTACAAATATAGCTCTGGGTGAAGAGTACAGTGACTAGCAGCTAAAAAGGCTGTCTCCAGGGGCCACGGTGGTGATAGAAGCAGTAATATCAGTGGTAGGTCTGTTCCCCTGCAAGGTGTGCCAAGACACACTCAGTCTCTGGGTGTGCCATACCAGTTATTGTTTTGGTTCCTTGATTTTTGTAGAGAGAAAGAATCTATCTTGAAATTTTCTCCAGAAGTAATTTAGCCAACTAATAAGCTATTGGCACTACTTTAGAGAGGTGCACAGGCTGTGATTTCGGGTCTCCCCCCCCGTTTACTTTGCCTCTCCTGTGCATGAGCTTGTTTCAGGCTATGCTAATTTTCAACAATTTTTTTCCCAAAGTTGTGGGAGACAGGTGTTCTTTTAAATGAAGGCAACTACACTAACTACACCTATGCAAGAGTACACACCAAGTTTAGGAACTGTAAACTACTAAATACATTGCAGAGCTTTACATGAACTTTCACAGAAAATGCATCTTCAATTAAACAGTGTCTTTTTGTGGTTTCTGGTCTTTGTGTTTCTTCTGGTTTTGGGCAGGATTACAAGAGCTCTACTTTGTGGAGTATAGTTTGTGGTGTACCACCAAATCTTTGTAAATAATCCCATGTGGGATTAGTAAATGGGAAGGAGTTAATTTTCAAAATCCTTTTTTAGGACACCCTCACTAGCTGACTAATTGTTGATGTCTTAAAATGTGCTTATAGAGTTGTTAATAAAGGTAGATACCCTGTTTCTGTTCTGGTGTTAGGCTGGAGGTTTTCTGGTCTAACTATACAGAAGGCTGTTGGTTAGTGTTAAACTATGCAAGGTACTAATACTAAAATCTCTGCATCTATATCTTGAAAGGAAAAAGCACCAATTTCAAGTAAGTTCTTAAATAATCCTGTTTCTGTTCATGTTCTCACTCTTTCCAAGATTACCTCCTCCACTGATACTTCTGTTCCTTCAGCAATATTATTTTCTACTACTCCTCTGCAGCAGGAGACTCCCAGATTTGTAGACCAAATAGATGGCTCTCTGAAGCTTTGCACTGCAGATGTAGTGGACCTGAAACATTTACAGCTGTTCAGAAAAGCTTCTGTTCTTTCAAGTAGCATAATTAAACTAGTGCAAAACTAAGGTCGGGAGATCTGCTTTATTTTTCTAAATGTGAGAGTTTTAAATGCACCAGAAAACCATAACTTCTATTTCTGGTGCATTTCACAAATTTCACAAATCGATTTCAGAAATTAGTCCACTGAATTTTTTATTTTAACAGGAAGAAAATATGTAAAACATTAAGGTGCAGTTAATTTATTTTTTTCTACTGACTCAGACATTTTACAGCTGAATACTTCTCACCTTGATTTCTGTAAGGAACATTCAAGAATGTTAAAAACCTGGTGTTTTAGTAGTTGTTTCATAAAGCAGCATAAGTCTCATATTGTTTAATTAGCAGAGTAATGACTGCAAGTGTGTAATTTAAGGATTTGGTTTCATGTCTGCATTCAGATGAAGTTTTCCAAAATATTTTCATATTTTTTCATAGAAGTTTTAATTCCAGTTTTCTAATAAGGTTTATGTTACTAATTTTGCACCATTTAAAATGAGTTTAAGAACTATTTAGGAAAAGAAAGAAATAGGAGCAATCTTTACCTGGTGCAAAATAAAAATTGGCAGAGGCTGAAGCTGACTGCTTGCAGAATTTCTAACATGAATTAATTAAATGGCTAGACAGTGTTCAGAATAAGAAAATACAAACACAACTGGACTTTATTTCTCCTTACATGATCTAACTTTTGATGGGGGAATAGCATGTCCTTTTTTTCCTGTGAACAGAGTCATTTTATCTTTTTAGTGTTCGGGGTGATTTGAAGTAGGCACCTTCACTGAGGAAATGTTAAGAGCAGTCCAGGTCTTTAGAGAAAGGTGGTACTTTTCTCATTCTGAGTTTTGCGTTGGGTTTTTTGGAGGTTTTTTTCATTATCATAGGCTCGTGTTGCTGCATCTTCAAAGAAACAGGCACCTCCCAAGAGCTTCTGCTCATGGCCCAGTGGCTCCTCTGCTGCGATTGCAGTGGCAGCTGCAGCCCTTGTCCAGTCTCTGGCATATCTTCCTTCCCTTGGCATCCTTCTTGTTCCAGCCCTGCTGTGGTGGTTTTTTTGAGTGGCTGTTAAGCTTTTCTTTCCAGGTTTGGAAGTTTTCAAATCCTTACTGTGTAGAAAATTGGGTGTATGAAGACCTGGAGGCATCGCATCCCAGAAAGCAGTTTGCACATAGCAGAAATATTTTGCGCTGGTGGTCAGGTTTTTAATGAGGCATTTAAAAAAAATTGGTTCTCTTCTTTCTCAATGAACAGGTTCGCCATAAAATGACACAGAAAGTTTATGCAATGAAGCTACTTAGTAAATTTGAAATGATCAAGAGATCAGATTCAGCCTTTTTCTGGGAAGAAAGAGATATCATGGCCTTCGCCAACAGTCCGTGGGTGGTTCAGGTAAGGAAGATATGTAAGACTAAAATAATAATAATAACAACAACAGCAATAATAACGATGATGTAATAAATATTTTCCAGTCTTGAGCTGGTTTTGAATTGACATCTAAACTCAAATCACAGTTTTCTTTTTAAAAATACATTTTTCAGCAATTTTACTGAGTTTTGAGTATTTGACTGTGTTAGAAAGTAGATTAATTTACATTTTAGTCACCACAAATGCATCATAAAACAGAATGAAACAGACTTTCGAAATACCAATATAATTATTTGGAATAATAGGGAATTTATCTTTCCAACTAAGAAAAATTCTGTACAGAAATGTAGAAACAAATGTCAGTATTTTTTTCCGGTCTTTCCTTCTGATACAGTCAGGTAATCACAGGCAGTTAGTATTAAGAGTGATTTAAACAGTCACTGTCTTTTCATCAGCAGTTTGGTCTGTGGGTGAGTGTGCACCCCGGTATCCTGCAAGACCAGAGCAGTGGTTTGCTGAAACCATCTTCTGTTTGGTGGTCAGTTAGAGCACCTGAGCTTGGAAGTAAAATCCAAGTAATGGAGAGTTGGCTTCTTCAGTTGTCTTGAGCACCGTTGCTCGCAGCTGTCTCCTGAGATGGATCATCACGATGTTGTAATGTGAATTATGCCTTTGGGAGGAATCAGTACTGCATATTGCTGTTTGTTGTAACCAGTGAATTACACCAGTTAATAAAATGGGTAGTGAAAGCATGTGCTTGGAGAAACTGTTAGTACCGAATTTTGTTAAATAATTAATACATCTAAGTGCTCTCATGTATATTGCTATGCCTCTTTGTATTTAATAAGACTGGCCTAAAGCTTTCCATATATTCTTCATAACTTCACACAAGAAATGTTTTACAAGGTTTTTTATTTACTTGATTTGTTCTTTGAGCATGTTCTGTGCTCTTGCCTATATTCAGCAGAAATACTTAACCAAATAGATGTTTTTTTATTTAGTTCTTTGTTCTAGTAACAGCAGTTGTCAGGAATTATTTTTATTTTTCACATGCAGTTGAAAGGAACGAGAAATGCATGACATGGATTTTCAAAGGAAAGTGTCACAAGCAGGATATAAATGTATGTCTGTATGTGCAAATAGCAAATGAACAAAAGTGTAGTTGCAAGTGTGCCTTCTCTGGTAAAGCGTATTAGTGTGATATATTTAGGTAATGTGGTCCAGTGGGACAGGACATCGAGCTGGTTTGAAGAAAATGTAGCTCCTGTTCTGAGTTAGAAACTGGGACAGATCATACTGCTTCTCTGTGTCTTGTTTTTAACATGAAAAACAAATGATACCAGAGCCCTAGATAATTTTAATTTATTTTTTTAAAATTAAATCCCTTGAGGGCAATAATGAAAGTGCTGTATAAAGCATAGTGCTGTTATTTATTATTGTGTAATATTAATATATTTACATGTGAGAATACAGAGACTATTTTGGATTTTAATTTAGACTTTAATGACCAAGTGCATTATCTTACTATATAATGCATATATTATCCATTTGTGAAAACAAATACAGTGCAATATGTATGTGTTAAAATATATATTTCTAATCTAGGTCTTCTGTCGCTAATTATACAGTTAATTTTAATCTAAAAGTCAAATCTCCATAATAACATACCTGCCTTACACGGTTCCTCATCCTCCACAGATTCCCTTATTTTCCCTTCCTCCTTTCCATACATCCTGTCTTCACTTCCCTTTAAATTTTGTGTGTGTAATTTAAAGATGTGAATAATTTTAGATTTTAAGGTAAAGGAGCAGTATTCCCTGAGAAGTAAGGTGAGACTTTCAGAGACTTTTTCACACCAGCCTTTGAACATTTGATAGTAATGCTTTTGATGACTTGGGCTATTTTCAGACTTGGTGATTGCTGGGTGAGATCTCTAAAACTTCAGCACTTTATGTCTGAAATACATTTTAAAGAGATAACTTATTTTCGTTATCATGCCAGTAGGAAACATACTGACTGCAACCTATGCCAGATCAGTATTTTATTGTTAAGGATAATTTCTTTGCACTGTGTTATAGTTATCTTCAGTAACATTTTGGTTTTCTTTCTTATTTCAATATATGTTGATTTAGGACAAAATCAGTGGTGACTTTGTGAACAAGTACAGAGTTAAGGAGTTTATAATACACACAATTTAGAAATAATCTGAGTTGCTGCTCACTGTTGAGGTATTTTCAAATCATTATGTGATGCTCCCTTTCTCAGATTTGATACTTTGCATTTTGACTCAGTGATACTTTTTAATGCCAAGAAATATGGAGATATATATATATAGATATATATAAGCCTATATTATTAAAAAAATCAGGAAGTCTTTTATCACTTTCTTTAAAATGAAGATGAGGGGATTTTGAAGTTCAGTAAATTTCAAGGTACTGTCATAATTAATAGAAAATGTAGATTGTCTGAATATAAAAAGTAAAGTTATTTACATAAGTTTTGACAAGATATTCTCAGGTTTAACAAAATTTCAAGATAAGGGGCTTTATTCTTTTTACTAGATGTCTCTGAAAAGTAATTGCATTTTTTTTCTTTTTTTTTTATTAATGTTGCAGCTATTTTGTGCCTTTCAAGATGACAAGTACTTGTACATGGTAATGGAATACATGCCAGGTGGAGATCTTGTAAACCTTATGAGCAATTACGATGTGCCTGAGAAATGGGCCAAGTTCTACACAGCCGAAGTTGTTCTTGCTCTTGATGCAATTCACTCCATGGGCTTGATACACAGAGATGTGAAGCCTGACAATATGCTTTTAGATAAACATGGGCATCTGAAGCTGGCAGATTTTGGCACTTGTATGAAAATGGATGAAGTAAGTACGCAACTGAATAATTTATTATATATAAAACTGTAATTCTAGGGTTATTTTCTTATGAATACACAAAAGAATGTTCATCAAATGGTCTACCTGGTTAGAAAACTGTTTCTTGTCTCCTAGTTTTAAATATGAGTACTCTAAATAGTGTAATTTTTTTTTATAATAAACTGTTCTGTCACACAGAAGAAGGATGTAAACTTTTTGTTATTTCTGAAAGCATGTGTGTTTATGAATTTTTGGGGTTCATCTTTTTTTTGCCAAATGTCTGAAAAGCTTACGAGATAACTCGTAGTTTCAACATTAATAACCTTGGAACAGTTCATAGACTGACATTTTTCTGTAAATGAAATTATTTTACAGGCAAAATACAGTCCCTGTGTTTTCCTGTGTCTCATTGTTCTCATAGCATCCTCTAGTGGTCATTCAAATGAGGTTGCAGTGGGGCAGCAGTGGTATGGGATATATTCATCAAAATTTGTTGGCTGTTTGTCAAGATGTCGTGCATTATAATTGTCCAGATTTTATTACAGTCAAATACAGTTTTCTAATGAGATTGCATAAGAATATTTTTAACATGATGTAATACTTTATGCTATCAAAGGTGACTTAAAAAGTAATCTACCTTTGAAGTTTGCATTCTTAAGATCTTCCCTGACAAACAGTGTTAGGCTGTAAATTACAGAATATATTCTTCTTGTGAAAAATTCTAACAGATTCTAAAAAAAACCCTCATATGAATGTATGTTATGATTTGCCTGGCCTTTGAAAGGTTTCTGTGTTAGTATTGGCAAGGGTTACCCTTTTAAGCTTACTTGCTTTAGTGTTTTAGATTTTTCTGTGTATTGTTTTGACGGTGCTTAATATAGTCTCTGCAACCTACTTAATTTGCATTTGCATCATTAAATTAATGTCTTCTCAGCTGTATCTAGAAGTACTGTCTCTGATTAAGTTGTTTTTTTTCACATGCCAATATATTAACTTCATTGTACAACCACAGCTGTTTATTGAAATTCAGTCTATTTAGTTTTGCTGATAATTTAATAACTATTGTTACTCTAAAGGCAGAGAGAATATTCACCATCAATGGACCAGTAATCTGCTAAAGAAATTAATTTTTTAACAGATTACATTTTAAGTTCTTCGTGTTTCTCAGACTCAGTGGAATGGCAAAAATTTTTTTTACAGGAAGCTTTAGAAGTTGAGAGATTCTGGATTGTCTCCAGATCTCATGCTACTTCTTACAAAACACGAACACATCCCAGCTGTGTAAATATAATACTGGTGTTGGCAGACTGATTTCTAGAAAATATAGCTTACCCAATACTTTTTTATTTTTTCGGATCTGGATTTCTTTTAGCAGTTGTGGACATTAGTATCTTCCTTATGCTGCCAATAGCCCAGGAAAATTCTACTGCAATTTGTTTAGAGATTTTTCTGACCTTTGCTGTGGAATTGAAGTCAGTGTTCACTTAAGTCTGCCAGGCCAAACCTGACAGTTGCAGCAGAATTCCTCCTTATCACTATGTGAAAAGATTTGCTGCTAAGTGTTTTAGTGATCTTTTCCAGCATAAAAGGAACTCTTCTGTTTATATAACTCAGTTGTCATGATTTGAGGGTTTGTGGTGTTGGGTGGTTTAGTTTTTTTTAATTTGTTGCCTTTTTTAAAATCTGCAATAAGGTGAGTATTTCTATTATTGTATAAAGAATGGAGTTGGCCTCAGAGGTTCAGTAGAAATTGTGGTTCCCTTTAGGTATTTAGGTCTGGTAAGGTCGATCAGGGCAGGTTTCACCAGGTGTCTAATATTCAGGTTTTCTGTAAGAAACTAGGCAGTAATTGGCTTCAGTAGGTATGGTAGGGCCAGTGTTTCCAGGCTCAGTACATGGCGCTGTCCTGTACCAACTGAGCTTCCAGAAGAGCACAGGTTTAGAGGCCACCTGTTGAAAACAGATGTGACCAAAAGAAGGCATATTTGCCATTTGGGATTATTACCTTGGCTCAGGCAGCTTATGCAAGACCCTGCTGGATCCTTCTTTCTTCAGTCCATTGTCTGCAGCGCACTGCACTAACCTGTGTGCAGCGTTAACACCTAATATATGCCATCCTAATATTTTCACACAAACACTCTCCAGCTCTTTTTACGGGAAGGAACTTAATGAGGAAGTAAAAGCCTGACTGTTTGCCTTGGTTCAAGACAGCAAGTCCTTCAGGTCTGATGGAGATCATCCTGAAGATGAAACCTGAATTGCTTTTCCTTCAGCAATACAATAACGCTGAACGATACTGGGAAACACTGCAGCCTCACTGCCAAGTTGTCACGAGCTGTGACATGCTGTGTCTTCTGGACAGCCTGTTTTTTAAAACTGTGCACTGTGCATTGCTCACAGAGCTACAGGAGATGGGTTCCGAGATCCACCTTGATCTTTTGAGGTGATGAGGAAAGTTTCAGGTAAATCACTGGCCTGAAACTGATGACTGTTATAGTAAGTGTGCTGCTCAGGCATAAAACAGAAGCTTAGTATTTGAAACACAGGAGTAATGAGTTGGCCAGAGAAAACAGCATCCTTTAGGTCTCTTCAAAGTGTAGGGACTGCCAGGGTGCCGTGTGTTGCGCAAAGAGGACATCCCTGTTTACTTGTCTTTGATGCCAGAGATCATAGAAGCGAGTCTGATGGTGATATTAAAGGTATCCAGTACTTAGAAATACATACAGAGCAACACTCAAGTTCTTTGAAAGAACAAGTGTGTAAATGAGTGGAACAGAAATCTGGGAATAGTATATGCAGATGATAATGGTCCAACCTCCACAGGGACATGATAGAATCTCCCATTGCTGGAGTTTTTTGTGATGCAGTTGGTCAAGGTGCTACATAATCTTATATAGGCCATTTTTCCCACAACACGTTGGGTCAGAGGATCTTTCAAGGTCCCTTCCAAGCCAGACTGTTCTGTGATCTGTGAATGCACTTTTAGATTAGTTCCTGAGACAGAAGGTAGAGAGTTTCATGGGGAGTAAGTACAACCAGCTCCATGTGCGTCAAAGTGGTATGGTCTATTGAAAACTGGTGTTAGGAAGCAGGGCCCTTTTTGCTGTAGAAATATTTGTTTGTTTTACTGTTCAGTTCTTTGGCATCTCATCTGAAAACTTAAGGTGTTATTACTTGGAGTTCTTTAGCATCTGTAATGTCATTGCAAAGAACTTTCCTTGTTGCTACATACCAGCCAGATTTGGGTTTGGCTGGTTTTGGCACAGCCTTTGCTTTGTTTGCTTAAGACTTCATAAAATATCAACACCTGTAACATATTAAAAAGTGTCCTTGCTTTGGTGTATTAATTATAGAGGGGTAGGAAATGGTGTGTTATTAAGTGCTTAGGTGTCAAGGTGATGTTCAGAAAAAGTTCTTTCAGAACTGTTTTGTTTACTTTGTTTTTAAAGTATCTCCTTACCTGGAGAGGGATTTGGGTGGCTTCAAGCAGTCTTGACTGAACAAAAATTCAGACTTTTCCTTGTAATTTTGCATTTGGATAAGGAAGAGATAGACACACGCCAGTGTTGAAGGCCTCATTAAGATGCCACAGATGAGCAGAATTACATAACTCTAGAGCAATTCCTCCTGAGCTCAAAGCAAAGAGAGGCTTAAGCTTCAGAGAAGACATGTAGGTTAGTGCACAAGTGCTGTTACAAGCAGCATATTCAAATAGTCATTGCTGCCATGTGCCAGATCCATTTTTGAATGCTCTTAAATTTAGATTTTTTGAGCCTTTGGGCTTCAGTTTATTTCCACTGCTAAATGTGCTTATGTTTTTTTTTTGACCAATGAATGCATTAGGTCTTCTGAAAAGTATTAACTTCATTTTCTTATCTCAGGGATGAATAGCTTATGTGCTATCTCATCCATAGTATAGAAGGCAAAAGTTAACCTGCTCTTTGTTCTGTAACTGAGAAGTTAAAACTTCTTCAGGTTTCAGCTTTAGCATAGAGTTGCAGAAGATGATAGGCATTTGCCAGGAGGACAGGCAGTCTCTACAGTATTTAGTCATCCCTTTAGTTTTTACCTGCTGGTTCATGACTCTCTGTGTTCTGCTTTAGTACAGAAATAAAAGCTTTTGACAGTTCATATTGTGTATGAAAAGGAATATTACAATGTGGTGTGTGAGTTTTACACATCAGTACAATTCCCAAAGCAAAATGTTTCTCTTCCTTTCTTTAAATATGTATTTTGACTTTAGTTATTGCTACTAATATTCTGTATCAAAATTCGTAAATAATACACATTGCTGTTCATGCTGATGGCAAAATGCATGAAGAACTTTGTAAGATGACTGAGATTTCAGATTTAGAAACAGAATAAAAGATGGGTGTATTTTTGGTACTTCTCTAGCTTCATCCAGAATTTCGTTCATTCATCCATCTGGTCTCTGAGGAGTGAACACAGTGAATTTGACTAAAGGAAACAAGGCTTATAACTCTGAACTAGAATGCTGGCAGATCTGATCGATGCTTCTGCGTCACTTAGCCCCTGCATTTTCAGTCTCTCAGCATGAAGCAAAGGGGATGAGGAATCATTCCATTAATACAACTGTGGTATTATGTTAATTAAAAAAAAAATGAAAAAGAGCTTTCCTATTCTTTAAAAATAGCTTTTCCTTTTAGTCTTCTTTGCATCTGTAATTAAAAAACAAGGTGTAAGTACAAAAATTTACCTCAAACTTGATTTATTGTCTGAATTGGACAAAATTGTTATGTATCTGCAATGTAGGGCCTAGAAGTCTTAACTTGTCAAAATGATTCTAAAGTTTGTCCCTGAATTCAATGAGATAAGGAGCAGTCTGATATGGTGTGTAGCTTCATATTGAAACCAATGGTAAAAATAATAAAATTGGTCAATTTTGGAAAGAGGTAGTCAAGAGAAATCACTATGAAGTAGGCAAATAGTGACCACATTACCAGACAATGTCATTTCAGTCCATATTGTTTCTTGAATAAAAAAGTAGTCTTTCAAACGTACTCGACAAACAAATATTTTAGGCTATATTTTGTATGGTTTTCTGCTCTCCTAATAGATTAACTGTTTAAAGACTCAGAAGTATTTTGGACTGAGCTGTTTGTGTTGTTCTGTTGCACAGACAGGAATGGTGCGCTGCGACACAGCCGTGGGAACCCCCGACTACATCTCGCCCGAAGTTCTGAAGTCGCAGGGGGGTGATGGTTACTATGGACGGGAATGTGACTGGTGGTCTGTAGGGGTGTTCCTTTTTGAGATGTTAGTTGGTAAGTAGTAATTTAGTCTGCTAATGAGATTATCATTGAGTCTTTACTGTGCCTTTAGCTGTACTTTGCTGCTCGGGGGCTGGTTGTACCTCACTAACAGCTTCTGACTTTTGGCTGATGCTGTGGTTTCATTTCTGTTCTCTTTGCTCTCTGTCACTCTTACGCTGTGACAGCTGTTTGCGTGCGTGCTCAGTGATTAGTTCCCTGACTCGATTCAGCTTAAAACTAATTCTTAGAATAGTTTTGGCTGGAGTCAGCTACCTCACCAACTCGTGAAGGTTTGTGCCACATCGAGCAGTACTGAGTTTGCAGGGCCACAGAGATGAGAAAGGACTGGAAAGGGCAGGACTGTGCTTTTCTTTTCTCCTCTTTTTTTTTTCCACAGCATGTCAGTGTCTTCTGTTAGGTCAAAATGCAAAACTGTGGCTTGATTCTTTCTTCTATGCTTGAGTCAGGATTTTCCAGTAAGATACACCAGATTTCTATGGCAACGAACATAGAATATAATCTGTTAAGGAGATGAGTCATCTGCCTCTTAATGTATAGTGAGGATCAATCTTATAGTCTAGTAGCAAAATACTGATTATAGAAGGATGGAATTGAGCATATAATTATTAAAAATCCAAATCAGCATGTTCTGAGAATATTGCAGATTTGATGCTTCTGGTATCCTAAGCTAGGAAAGACATTTGGATATAAAAAGCTGTTACAATTTCTATGTCTTTCAGAATTAAGGCACTTTGGCTTTAAATAGAGTGGTTTATAATGATTAGTCTCTCATGAACAATTTTAGCAATAAAGAAAATTATTCAATTATTAAAATATTGGACATAGCTGTCCAGAATTTTCTTCTCAGGGCCTCCCTTTTTTTCCTCTTGTATGTAGGAGGGAAATATTACTTAATTTCTCCATCTATTTTTGTCTGTGCTCACATATCAGATTCTGCCCGTGGTCTTCTAAAACTTTGCACTTCAAAGAAATCACAGAAAGTGTTCCGTTGTTCTGGTTTTAGTAAAACCACAGTACTAATGAAAATGGTAATTTTATTATGAGAATTAAAATTTTATTGTGCCCTTGACTAAAAGGTAAAATGTTGGTCACAGGATGAATCCTAACGATAGTTCAGTGACTTTAGATAGTTTTAAGGTGTGTCCAAAATCAAAGCTGTTTCTGGGACAGAAGAGGAAGGCTGGGAAAGAGTGAGGCAGCAGCAAGTATCAGTGATCCACACCTGCAATGCACTGGTATGGCACCCTAATGAATTTACTAAAAGTTTAGAAGTTTAGTTCAAGCTGATATGTACTAATTCCTTATTATGCCATAAAATGACAGGAGGAGACTGAAGTTAGGATTGTTACATTTGTATTCTTTTGAAAGCAGAATGGTTTTTGTCCCTTGGTCTGTTTGTACGTTTTTTTCATGTACTTGGCTTTTGAAATATTCAGTTCCTTGATGGAAGGCTGCAGCCAGCAAGGCTGTCCTGCCAGGTGGTCCCTGCCTGCACACAGCACACTGGGACGGAGAAAGGAGCCTAGCTCATGCAATCAGTTGTTCGCCTTCCCTCTTAAACCTATGGATTAGTTGGGAGAAAAAGCATTTCTGTGAAAGTTGCAGCTTCTTGATTACAGACCTGAACCATTTGTAAGTTCAGAATGTTGTCAGTTAATTTGAGTGTCAGTTGCCTTCATCACTTCCAGTTCTTTTCACTTGTCTCAATTTTATTTTTCTTAATTCTGTTTCCTTTGCAAATATCTTTAGAGCCTATGCTGCAAACCTCTGGGTGGGAAAGGTCTATGATTTTAAAAGCCACCTGCCATGTTAATATGGGCACCGAAGCTAATTAATTTGTCAGTGAACAAGATTTAATAATATGGCTTTAACAGTGCAGTAACACACTGGGAAGGCTCCTGCTCAGAGCTGACTTGCCTTAGGCAGGGTAGGCCTGTCATGCCTCTGAAATGGTCTTCGGAGAGCTTTGGTTTATTCTTTCCAACAAATGCGCATTAGCAAATCTTTAGTGATTTGCGGCCCATTTGACCCATGGAGTGTTTAAAGGTGGGGATTTAAGTGGGCGTCACCCATCATGTAAATTAGAAAACACAGTGAGAGTCTTCAGATAGAACAAAAGGTGTAATTCGCTGGGCAAAATTTTGGTATTGATTGGCAGGATAGAAAATGGTGTAGTTTCTAATACAGGCATTTTAGGGAAGGAATATTTTTAGTAGTATACATTATTTTTGCATTCCAATTTTACTGTTTCGTTTTTTTTTTTAAATAAAAGACTATTTTTGGTAAACTGCTCCTAGACTTTTCTTTATATCTTTTCTCTTACTCAACTTACATGACTCAAAATCACAGTCAATTTGCTGTTTTATTTCCAGGTGATACTCCTTTTTATGCAGACTCACTAGTAGGAACATACAGTAAAATTATGGATCATAAGAACTCATTACATTTCCCGGATGACGTGGAAATCTCTAAGCATGCGAAGAACCTTATCTGTGCCTTTTTAACTGATAGGTAAGTGCATGTGTTGTTCTGTTACTTTTTTTTTTATTTTGGATGGTATTGGCTGTATTTATTTTGGATGGTGCATTCTAAAAATTAATTCCTTCCATTACTTTTCCTAATCTCTGTCCACATCTCTTCAGCAAAACCTTCTGTTCTCTAGTTTTTCTTTTGGGGTGTTTTTTCCAGGTATTGTATTTTATTTCTATGAGCAGTTCTGACAGCTCTTGTTAACAACACAGTTTGTGCTGGACAAATCCTTCCAATTGCAGTGTGTAATACAGTTACAAACCTGTAAGACTGAAAGTAATTTGTAAGCTCCAAGGCAGGGGCGAAATTGTTGTGCTCAATGTCTGCATGGCTGTTACTTATGAAAAATGAAAGCAAGTACTTCTCTGAAAGTAAGCATGCATTTATGAGTTTGTTTAAGGTTTCTTGGAATGTTTGAATTTTTATTTTTTATTTGCTTTGTTGCATTAATTGATAAGTATAGCTAACAAACCTGCAAGGAGTATTGTTTTGGCTACAAATAGGTCCTCGAAGTTTGTCTTTATGGAATGGAGCCATTTATTGAAATTAAACTGTGTAAGCTTGTTCTTAACCTGAACACTTATATTTTCTTTAGTTTGAGAAAGCACAGATCATCTTTGATTTCTTTGATTTAAAAGAACAACACTGTAGACCCACAGTTAACTCTGGATTGGAGATGCCTTCTTATGCTTTTTCACCTGAACCTGGCTGGAGCAGAGCATACAGAATAAGGGATTAGGAAAACAAATGGGTTTATAATGGGTTTTGCATTCAAAGAGAGATTGTTTGCTCTACTGAGCAGGATCGCAGTTGCTCAGGAAGGATGTACTTTAATTTAGCAGCATTTTTCACCCTTAGTAGCTGAAGGGTAGAGAGAAAATATGAGTAGAATTTAATAATGTAAATGTGGCGAGGTGTGTTTCCACTACGTGTGTCCCTCTTCCTGTTTATATTTAACACAGTGCTTGAGCGATTTATTTGAAACAGATGCTTGCTCTCTGTCTGCGTGATCACTGCTGAAGCACTTAAAGGACTAAGCATCGACCCTGTGATTTACTGCTTCTTTTCCATGCATTGTTTTTATGTCCTGTTCCTGTACATAGTTTCAAGAGAGTCTCTTCTGTTCAAACTAAAAGTTTCTTGTTGCTCTTAAGATTTACTTCACTGCAAATATCAGCAAAAGACGTGTCAGGGTTAGTTGTGGGGCAGAGGATGAAATTCTTAAAATATTTATTTTAGTCCAGCTTTGAATAACTGTTCTGTGCAGTAGGTTAGACCTTCCTTCACTTGCGTCTTACGGTTTGTCATGTGGTTTGGCAGACACGGAACTTCTGCAGTTTTATTTCCCCCAAGGGTGTTGAGTTTTTGTTTGTGTTTTTTAGGTTTTTCTTAGTTTTTGCCTCAGTGTTCTCTGTCTTGCTTTACTCCCCACGTGGCAGACTCCGAATTCTGGACATTTTAGCAGTCGCAAGGAGAGCGCATGCTAAGAATCAGAGTATGTTTTGTATAAGAAACTAAAGATTAGTGGTTGGTGGTTTTTAAATTTTGTTTTTTATCTGACCATTAGTGTGGTTAACACAGACAATCTTTACTGAAAGTTTCATTGCTGCTTGTGAACAAGTCAGAATTTAAATAACAACAAACTAAGCAAAAAAAAAAAAAGAAGCTCCTTTCCTTAATGTGACTTTGGCTTAATTGCTATGTTTAGGGATGTGCGACTTGGGAGAAATGGGGTAGAAGAAATAAAGCATCACCCTTTCTTCAAAAGCGATCAGTGGAACTGGGACAACATTCGAGAGAGTGAGTAAATTAGCTTACAAGTTCTATTTTATTCAGTATTTGCAATAGTAGAAATGAGGAAAAAACGTTAGCCTGTATAAATTAAATATTTTCTATCAGAAATCTTGCTCAACCTTTCATATTTATCATTTGTGTTATGAAAACTCATGTGAGTAAGGGTTAGTAAATACACATTATTCCTACTAGGATTATCCTCATCTTTATCATGCTTTTAATGTAGACATTTCCATTTTAAATAAAAGAATTGGATGTTTCAGAATTTTAACTAAAAAGAATGCATGTTTGTCTTTTGCTTTTGTTGTTTTGTGTTATGAGTTTTTTCATTTTGATTTGGGATTTTTTTGATCTTCTCGTAGCTAAGACAGTAGTTTGACAGTGGTCTTGTCAGTTTTACTGCTTTTCATTTAAGGTGTTGAGAACCTGATAGCTTTAGGTAAAAAAAGCAAAGTATGTCAGTTCAGCTCACGAGCTCGATCGTAACTTCTAAAGTTACATATTTACTAAGGTTTCTTAAAATGCTGATTGTATTAGAGTTCTATTCTCAAACGTGATTACCTGAGCAAATAAATATGTCTTGCGTATTAGATAGTCTATGCATGAAGCAACTAATACAAAAATAGATTGCTCTAGAAAAAATTGTGCCCAGTAATATTTCCAGATCTGCTGTCTGGTTAATACATATTTAACTACAAGTTATTTAAGGACAACTTATAATATAGTCTTTTAACATTATAGAGATACCAGTATATAGCAAGTGACTGAATCTTGGAGTAAAGTTCATCTTTTCTCCCCTTTTTATAGCTGCTGCTCCTGTTGTTCCTGAGCTCAGCAGTGATATAGATAGCAGTAATTTTGATGACATTGAGGACGACAAGGGAGACGTGGAAACCTTTCCAATCCCCAAAGCCTTCGTGGGAAACCAGCTGCCTTTCATAGGATTTACCTACTATAGAGACAATTTGTATGTGATACTTTAATATACATTTTTAGAAAAATACCTGCACATTTTTCTTGTATTCACTTTTCACTCTAGATTCATAAATTATTCCTACATTATATTCATTTATATCCAGTTGGGAAGATACAAAATGCTAAACTTGAGTAAAATAATTTGTTACTATTTTGGTTATTTTGATAACTGTGATTAAACACAGTATTTTTATATGCACAGAATTATACAATATCTTAAAAAATTGTTTAGGGTTAAAATACTGATAGATTTGTAATTTACTTCTACAAAGGCTTTTTAGTAGTTATTTTGTAAAAAAGTTTACACAAGATAACTTTCTAGAATTAAACTCAAATAATTAAAAACTAATTGTATTAATTAAAAGATCATAAGCTGCTGTGGATTTGGAAACATGCTATACTTCAGTTAAGGAAAGATTCAAATCACAAAGATACACTAAGACTGAAATAAAACAAGCTTCATTCTGAGAGGAGCATAGGACAAATTAAGGCTTGAGAGAATTGATTAAAATGGCAAGATTGCCAGAGTTGTTGAAAACTTGAATAAGAGCTGGAGGGATTTGTTTTTGTTTTTGACAGGTTGCTAAGTGACTCCTCTCAGTCTTGCAGAGAAAATGAATCTGTGCAATCTAGTAAAAATGAGGTTAGTGCCTTTCTTCTTCAGTATTAACGGTATGCTTAACTAATTTTGTTAAGTCTGTTAAGAAAAGACAAAGCCTAAAATAAGTTTTCAAGCAGTTTTGTGGGGGGGCTTTTTATCTTTTAGTGATCCTCAATAAAAATGATATTTTCTATTTACAGGACAGCAAGGAGGTAAGTATATTATTTGAATTATGAAAAGAATAGAAAGATTCCTACATAATTTTATGTGAATGTGAAGTATCTTAAATGTTTATTCACCAAATTGTTAGCAGTAAACCAGTTGTATTTTGAAACAGTTGTACTCAAGTGTTAAGGTGCTGTAGTATACAGGGGAATGAATACAGATTTTTCTCAAATTCTTTTGGCATCTAGAATTTTTTGGAAATCAAATGCGTAAAGCTCTGTTTGCTACAGAGAGCATCACTCTTGGGAAGATTCCACAGTTGCCTGAGCGATTCATGACTGATTTATTCGGAGTTTGGAAAAAATAAATTGTCACCTGCAGTGATAAAGGAATGTTTAAATCATACTCCAGTTGGAGTGTATGGAGCGTGTTTATCCAGCTTTTGAAGATTGACAATTGAATTTAAATATGCATATGACAGGAAAATGTTATAGAATTTTCATGTACTTATTTCATTATGTTACTTAAACATTTGTATTATTCAAGTGTAGATAGTATATTGTTAACGTTTCTTAAAACTTACAGTTCCTTTTCAAAGTTTAAAAATAAATAAAGGAAATGCATTTTGTATTGATCAGCTAAATTTAAATGCAAATGTTTATTACACTCCACTTCCTTCCTGTCACTGCTGAATAGATGAATAGTTTTAGAGTTTCCCTTTTAAAAAGAAATGGTACTGGTGTTCAAAATACATATCGTCACATTCGTGACATTTGCTTTATGTTGTGATAGTAAATGCAGATGGTAACATTTTGCATTTGACTTCTGACAACTTTTTTATTTGTATTTTCTCAAGCGATGAATCTCCAGTTTTGATGTCTTTTTCAGTGTCCCTGTTCTGGGAATCTTCTAATTGTAATAATTTTAAAGTGTTTTAGAAAACCACATTTTTACTTTTCATGTTTGGAGGTAGAGAAAGAGGGGGAAGGGAGGAAAATAAATGCATTTGAAAGCCCGAACTCATGAGATTAATCCAAAATTTATTATTTATAATTTATTTCGTGAATATTTGGGTACTAGACTCACATTTTTTTAAAAAATATTTTAGTAAGCAAAACTAAAGTAAGGATAATAAAAAGTGTTTTTATAAATACATTAATAGCAAAAGGAGGGGCAAAGAAAACCTACATTTTTTACTGGACATGGGGGAGAACATAGTTACCAAGGATGCGGAAAAGGCTGAGGTACTTAACACCTTCTTTGCTTCAGTTTTCAACAATAAGACAGGTTGTCCTTAGGACAGCTGGCCTCCTGAGCAGGTAGACAGGGACAAGGAGCCAAATAGTCCCCCTGTAGTCCAGGAGGAAGCAGTTAGTGACCTGCTGAGCCACTTGGGTCTTCACAAGTCTATAGGACCAGATGGGATCCATCCTAGGTTGATGAGGGAGCTGCTGGAAGAGCTTGCCAAACTGCTCTCCATCATTTATCAACAGTCCTGGCTCACTGGGGAAGTTCCAGAAAACTGGAAGTTGGCCAGTGTGACGCCCATCCATAAGAAGGGCTGGAAGGAGGATCTGGCAAACTGCAGGCCTGTCAGCTTGGGATCAGTGCCCAGCAAGGTTATGGAACAATCATCTTGAGTGTGATCACACAGCACCTACAGGATGGCCGGGGGATCAGACCCAGCCAGCATGGGTTTAGGTGGGGCAGGTCCTACCTGACCAACCTGATCTCCTTTTTATGACCAGGTGATCTGCCTGGTGGATGAGGGGAAGGCTGTGCATGTGGTCTACCTGGACTTCAGCAAAGCCTTTGACACCATCTCCCATAGCATACTCCTGAAAAAGCTGGCAGCCCACGGCTTGGACAGAGGCACTCTCTGCTGGGTTAAGAATTGACTGGAGGGCCGGGCCCAGAGAGTGGTGGTGAACAGTGCTGCATCCAGGTGGTGTCTGGTCACTAGTGGTGTCCCCTAGGGATCAATGTTGGGCCCAGTTCTATTTAATATTTTTATTGATGATCTGGATGAGGGGATCAAGTCTACCATTAGCCAGATTTGCAGATGACAATAAGATGGAGAGGAGGGTCGATCTGCTGGAGAGTAGAAGGGCTCTGCAGAGGGACCTGGACAGGCTTGGATAGAAGGGCTGAATCCAATGGTATGGGGTTCAACAAGTGCCAAGTGCCGGGTCCTGCACTTTGGCCACAACAACCCCATGCAGCGCTACAGGCTGGGCACAGAGTGGCTGGAGAGCAGTCAGGCAGAAAGGGACCTGGTGGGGTGTTGTTTGACAGTGGCTGAACATGAGCCAGCAGTGTGCCCAGGTCGCCAAGAAGGCCAGTGGCCTGTGTTAGGAACAGTGTGGCCAGCAGGACCAGGGAAGTGATTCTTCCCTCGTACTTGGCACTGGTTAGGCCTCATGTCGAGTACTGTGTCCAGTTCTGGGCCTCTCATTTCAGGAAGGACACTGAGGTGCTGGAGCAGGTCCAGAGAATAGCAACAAAGGGTCTGGAGCACAAGTCCTATGAGGAGAGGCTGAGGGAGCTGAGGTCATTCAGCCTGGAGAAGGGGAGGCTCAGAGGAGACCTCTTCACTCTCTACAACTCCCTGAAAGGAGATTGTAGACAGTTGGGGATTGGCCTCTTCTCCCAGGCAACCAGAAATAGGACAAGAGGACACAGTCTTATGCTGCTCCATGAGGGGAGGTTTAGGTTAGACATTAGGAGGAGTTTTTTCACAGAAGGAGTGAGTGGGCATTGGAATGGGCTGCCCAGGAGATGGTGGAGTCACTGTCCCTGGAGGTGTTTAGGAAAGACTGGATGTTGCAGTTAGTGCCATGGTCTAGTTGACATGGTGGTGTTAGGTCATAGGTTGGACTCAGTGATCTCAGAGGTCTCTTCCAACCCAGTTGATTCTGAGAAAACAAAGCATTTCCAAAACTGAAAAGTGTTCATTAGATTCCAAATGAGTAAGACTAAGAAATTCTTCTTCAGGTAAGGTCACTGAACATGTTTAGTCGTCTGAAGATTGTCTACTTTGGTCATGTGCCCCCCCTTCTTATTTTTTCATTTCATTTAGAAAAGGTTATCCCAAAAAATCTGCTGCAGTGGACAGTCTCTGGCTACAGAGAACAGCAAAGGGCCGGTAACAATATTCTTTCCCCATATAAATTTTATGACTCACAATCTGTGGCACGTAATTCTGTGACAGTTTGATTTAATGCAGCATGCAGCAAATTTTGTTGCTATGGATCTGTATCTTTAAAATCATCTGAATTAATGCCTTGTAAAGATGTAACCTTCTAGTGATGGTTTTAAAATAATATAGTGGAAGATTGAATTAATTTTCCTCGCTTTCCCTTATTTTGTTATTTAATTGAATTGCACTTGTTTTATGTGGTAATATTTTTATATGTGGGCCATACTTTTTTGATATTTTACACAGTTTCAGAAAAAACTAAGCAAGCTAGAAGAACAGCTCAGTAATGAATTGCAAGCCAAAGATGAACTAGAACAGAAGTACAGGTGAGACTGTTTTGACATATTTGGTATGTTTATAGAGTAGTTTTATTAGACCTTCTGTTTTTGGATACTTAAAAGCATTTTAATTCACTTTGGGGATTCCCAACCCTGTGAGCAGATCTCACTGTAACTTGCTGGCCTATTCTTGGTGCTCCTGTGACTACTGGGGTGGTTTTGTTGGGTTTTCTGCCTTACCTCTCTAGAAGAATCTCTCTGTTATTAGAGTGATTTCACCTGTCCCTGAGGTTTCATGTTACTGCTGAAAATAGAATATCTAATTAATGAGACACATCCAAGCACTCTAATTTCTGTATTATCAGCAGGATTTAAAAGTATTTTTCAAATTTGTTCAGGTCTACAAGTACTCGTTTAGAGAAGATATTGAAAGAGCTCGATGAAGAGGTAAGTCCACAGATATTTCTGACTAGAATTAGAACTTTAACATTTGTGTGTGGCTTTTTCCTTCAGTAACAGCAAATTACTTTTGAGTAGCTGTGTATTTATAGCAAGTAAACCAGTTGATTTCTTAGTATTCACAAGCATGAAATTGTCACTGCTAAAATATTTTCATTATGATTTCTCTACTATAATGACACATGTCTTTGATAACTTGTTTTTTACTGTGTTTTTAAGCTGGAGAACAGCATGATATAAATATCTCCTATAGATTTTAAAAATCGAAGGTGTGAGAGCAGTGTTTCTACAGGAGGAAGGCCATGCTTTGCATTTTTCAGTGTTAGTAAAAGGACCCTATTTCTTGCCCAGCTTTGCACCTTAGTGCTTCTACAAACTTGGATGTGGATGTGTGCAACTTAATGTATTGCTCATCCAGGTGCATGTCAAGGCCTTACATTACACATGTGTTTCTTTGCTCCCAGACTGCTCCCAGACTGCTCCTCTTTGACTGCTTAGGCAGGTCTACCAGGTTTATCAAATCCAAATGATCAAACAGTATTTAAATAGCAGAGCTCCTGGCCATAGTCATCCTGGGCCAGATTTGATCACGTGTTCTGATACGCTGTGTTTGCAGCAGGCAAATAAACTAGCTTTCTCCATTACAGGCTAAACTGAGTGTGTGAGCTGTGTTTTTATCATATAAGAATACCACTCTTGTGTATGTAATTAGTGGTGTATTTTTTTTAAATATATCCAGATAACTTCAAGGAAGAATGTAGAGTCTGCAGTCAGGCAGTTAGAGAGAGAGAAGGCTCTTCTTCAGCATAAGAATACAGAATACCAGAGAAAAGCAGAACATGAAGCAGATAAGAAACGCAATTTGGAAAATGAGGGTATGTTGAACCATGCTTGAAGGGTTCCATTTTGATGTGGGTTTTTAAAAGTTAAAATAAATGAATTATAGTCCCAGTTGAAGTGTTTTCATGACAGTGATTAACAATGTTCAATTGGGGTTTTTTATAGTTAACAGTTTGAAAGACCAGCTTGAAGATTTAAAAAAGAGGAATCAGAACTCTCAAATATCTAATGAGAAAATCAATCAACTACAAAGACAGGTATGCCAACTTTATATATGTATATTTTAAAATAATAGCTGTTTGAAGTACAGATTTTGGGATTAGTGGAGGGATTTGAAATCTCTAGTTGAGTTTTTAAAGATTTTTTTTTTGTTACGTTTTGGTGTTCAAAAGTAATCTTAAAGTATACTCCTTTTTACTTCTTTAATCCCTAAAACCTAGTATGCTGTAGTAGAAATAGTAGGTTTTATATTTTAATTGTTTCTGAAGTATGTATTTATCAATCTTAGTTGGATGAAGCCAATTCTTTGCTGCGGTCAGAGTCTGATACTGCAGCCAGGTTAAGGAAGAACCAGACAGAAAGCACAAAGCAAATCCAGCAGCTGGAAACTAATAATAGAGAACTACAAGATAAGAACTGCCTGCTAGAGAATGCGAAACTCAAACTGGAGAAGGAGTATCTCAATCTTCAGTCAGCTCTAGAATCAGAAAGGAGAGATCGAAGTCATGGATCAGAGATTATCAGTGATTTACAAGGTATTCCTGCAAATGTTCTGATGTTAAGATTGCTTCTTGTTTCCAAAATAAAAATAGGTTTGGGTGGTGTTATTTGAGCTTCAGGCTGACTAGATAAGTGTGCTGTCCTCTAAAATGTTATGCAATTTTGAACACACATTTAAGAGAAAATGTGTGATAACATTTATGAAACATTATTGATAACTTTTAAAATCACCCCAAAGGGAGATATTCTTAACAGTCGGAATTAGAAGCTGTAACATTTGAAAAATGTTATCTCTAAATAGATAAAGTACAGTCTCATTTTCACACACTGCCCAGTCTCATTGATGTTTTGGTTATTTTTAGGTCGAATATCTAGCCTTGAAGAAGAAGTGAAAAGTGGAAAGAGTGCATTAGCCAAACTGGAAATGGAGAAAAGGCAATTGCAGGAAAAGCTCACAGATTTAGAAAAGGTAACAGCACTTCTAACTGAACATTGGTGTCACATTCTTACGAAATCTTTGAATTTGTACTTTTATTATTTGAGATGTTGAGTAAACCTTGTTTTCAACATTTAGTTGGTTTTTTTTAATTGTTTTTGCAATTTGAAAAGCGGGGGGGAAAAAGTCATCATTTCCCATACGATCATAAGACATTATACTTCTAAAGTACATAATAGTGTACTCTGGTGTGTAGCTTAACAGTGCAGTAGTAACATTTCATTTCATGTATTGGGTTTTTTTAGACTCTCCTTGTTGCCAAAAATAAAAGAGTTTCTGCTAATATTGAACAAATTTGTCATTGAAACAAAAGTCTTGAAAAATTTCTTCAATAAACCTAATCTTTGAGCCTATTGCAGGATGTTGTTGTTAAGGCAGTAATTCTGTAATTGTTTGCCCCTGGGGATGCTGTTGTACATTTTAGAGCACTTTGCCATCCACAGAGAAACATTTTAGAAATAAGTTCTCAGTTAGCTCCTTAGTCTGAGCTCTCTCTTCTACTTTTTGCATCTTTCCAAGCAGCATGTTATTGTCATCCAAAAGTTTGCCTCTAACCTGATGTATTTTATGTTTTATTTCAATATTATTTTTTCTATAACAGGAAAAGAGCAACATGGAAATAGATATGACATATAAATTTAAAGTTATGCAGCAGAACCTTGAGCAAGAAGAAGCTGAACATAAAGCCACAAAAGCACGATTAGCAGACAAAAACAAGATCTATGAATCTATAGAGGAAGCAAAATCTGAAGCCATGAAAGGTAGGTATTTGACACAGTTGGACTTAGGAGTGAATTATACAAAGTAGATAATATAAGCTTTTACTGTGCACATTCTGGTGCATCTCAAGACAACTGAAATATCTTGAAGAGAGGGATAGTTACCAAAAAATTCCAGAAGATGGCTCTTACTTTTTAATTAAATGGCTTATGTTTATTGTGCTAATTAAAAAGCTACCTATAGAACCTCTCCTTTCAATTGCAGAGCATTCTCAAGAATTTTGAGCATGCAAATCTTCAAAAGAAGCAAAAATGATTCAGTAATAATGACCAAGTCACTTAGCATATCAGATTCTGCAACAGCTTCAGCTCTTTAATTGATTTTATATTACTGTAGTGCAACAATTCAGTAGATTTAGGTGGTTTATTTTTAAAATTCAGCCCTTTTTGTTCATCTCAAAAGTGTTGCAGATAAACTGGAAGTTATCTAGAAACTCAAAAGTAGGAAATAGCTCTGTCAGGAATGCTTGGAAAAGCATCCTCTGGGCATGATTTTACTATGAAAATTTTAATTAATCACTTTTCAGCAGTCTTCCTCTTCAGTTTTAAAAGGAGAAACATGTGGCTTTTTGTTAAACGTCCTCCTCCCTTCGGCCTCCAAAATATGCTGGTTTACACTGACTGATGTCTTAAATTTTTTTACTTCACAGAAATGGAGAAGAAACTTTTGGAAGAGAGAGCTTTAAAGCAAAAAGTAGAAAATCGGTTGTTGGAAGCTGAAAAGCAGCGCTCCATGTTGGACTGTGATCTCAAACAATCACAGCAGAAAATCAATGAGCTCCTTATGCAAAAGGATATACTAAATGAAGATGTAAGGAACACTGACAAAAAAGCATCTTGAGTCAAACTTCATTTTCAATGTTTAAATACTTTTCCTGTTATAGCTATATTTAGTAATGTTTGTGAGTTAAAATGGCAGCAGTTTTCCTTCTCTGTCTTTGGAGCTTTAAAAAGTCTACTTCATGGAGTCTAGTGTCATTTTTCAGAAATATTTCAGCATTACTCACCTTAAAAAGTTTTTCATTCTGGCATTTAAAATTCTGTGAGATTGACATGGAAAAACTAGCTAATTTAATGTGTGCTAATGCCTTTATTCAGGAAGCAGCTTCGATTTACCAAGAGATGTGAGTACATGTTGTACAGAAATGTAGAGGAAACCAATAACAGACTGTTTAAATGTTTCTTTCCTGTATAGGTCTGTAAAATTAACAGGAGTTTGTATCTTTTTCAGGTAAAAAACTTGACATTAAAAATAGAGCAAGAAACACAAAAGCGCTGTCTCACTCAAAATGACCTCAAGATGCAAACGCAGCAGGTCAACACCTTGAAAATGTCAGAGAAGCAGTTAAAACAGGAGAATAACCATCTTCAGGAAATCAAATTAAGTCTGGAAAAACAAAACAATGAACTCCGCAAGTATGCAAGTTGCTCCATATTTTTAGTCATGTTACTGATTTGTAATATTTTTGTAACAAAAGTTGAGGGCAATATTAATTGAAAAAAATTGCTGCAAAGAATATGCTATTCTACAGTGCTAAACTTTAAGGTTCTTTAAAATAATTTACAGTGACTAGTTGAGACTTGCCCTAGTGATTCAGCACTGTATGGATTTGTATTCAAAGGTGTTTGTTATCCTGAAAACCTTAAAAAACTCAGTGTAAACATGAATCTGAGGACTTAAGAGAAACATTTAACTGAAAGTCTACATACTTTCTCTTTAATGATGTAGAACTTCAGTGAAGAGAAAAGTTACTGGAATTATTAGTCTAGGAGAGATGGAAATGAATACTGCTACAGAGCAGGAAAGCATAACTGCTGGAAAGCATAACTGTTGGAAATATCTAATACTGCAGATGTTTAAACACATCTATTGGACCTTCATTTAGGAGTTGTGTTACATCCCAGCAGTTCTTCAAGGTCTTACAAGTAGTATTTGCACCTGATAATAAATAAGTAAATAATATTTTTTTTACATAAAGAACTTTCTTGTGAATGAAAATACAAGTTTAGCACACATATCAGATGAATCTCAGCTCCTTTATGACTTCTGATGGTTTATCTCCTGGTGCTTTGCCTTTTCTGTCAGCAAGATGCAGTTAGTCACATAGAAGGTGACCACAATGTGAAACACTGGCAGAAGTATTTTCTGCTACATTTCTTTTGTTATGGGACTGACTGTTGTTTTAATAACAGATGAATTCAAGAAATTATCCATGTCAAGGAGTACAGACATGTTTTCACAGACTCTGCTCTTGCAAACAAGAGACCCAAAACAACCGGTCAGATCAGAGATGTTTTACATGGAAATAAGATTCTGTTGGTGGCTGTTTACTTTATTGGTGTCTCTTACTGGTTAAACTGTGTGACACTGTTGTAGTTAGCATGTTAACAATATTAAACTGACATGTGCAGTGGGCTCAGCTATACAAGTGAAAAAGAGATCTGGAGCCCAGAGGAAGCTTCAGGTTTAATTGCTGACCATACTTTGGTCAGGAAATCACTGAAGATCTCAAGAGTATGAGTGCGTTTTTAATTTACTGGTTGGGAATGTCTTCATATCTTTAAAGCATGTTATTCCTTTCTAGGGAACGTCAAGATGCAGATGGACAAATGAAAGAGCTTCAAGACCAACTCGAAGCTGAACAGTATTTCTCGGTATGTTTTGTGCTGCTTTATTTTTTTACTAATCTGTTTACTGAGTAAATGTTATCTTTTCTTCTTCCTCCTTAACCATCAGCTGTTTCACAGCTCTAACCCAAAGCTACTTGTTTTTCTTGTGCCTGTCTTCAGTGTTGTCTGCAGCCTTGATCTTGATCACTGAGCGTATAAAAGAGCTCAGGTTAAAAAATGTCCCAGGTTTGTGAGGGAGTTCAGAGGGAGGGAGGAGGCAAGCAGCTTCCTTTTCCACAGTGTGAATAATTTTCTGCATGTTTCCAGCCTTTTGCATTCAGCATCTCTTCCATGCTGCATGGTAGAGAAGAGTTGTATTCTGACGTGGTGTGACAAAACGTGACATTAAGGCTTGGAAGGAAATTTTTGCATTACAACCAAACTTGATAGAGGTCTCTTAGGAGTGGTAACATACAACAGAATAAATAGATATTGTACTTAAAAATCATCACTAGCTTGTGGAGGTTAATTTTTATTAACAGTGCGCAGCCAGTTGCACTGCAGGAGATGCCAAAAGGCTTGTTTCAGAATTAAAGGAAACTAAAAATTTCATTGTGGTATTCAGGTCAGTGAGGAGAAGGACTATCTAAAGTTTTAGTAGATGAAAACATTGCATACATTAAAGGAGAGAAAGGGAGAATTTTGTAGATGGGCCAGAGAGAGACAATCTGTGTTGAAATCTTTGCAGTAAGTCCACTTACAGCTGTCTGTCACTTGACCTGTATTCAGTCATTTGAGTGGACAGAGCAATATAATGTTTCTTTCATTTTTTTAGAGCTCTAGATTTGTATCAATTTCATGAAATTTTGAATTTCAAATTATTTTCTAATCTGTTTTTCCCTTCCTCCTATATTTCTTTTTGTTCTTTAACTGTCACATGGGTTTCATGGATTTGTATGATTAGAATCTAAACAGCATGTACTTAATTACGTCAGACAAAGATTTAAAATAGTAGAGAAAAATCAATTCATTTTCCTTGGTTCTGATGCTTCCAATTTTCTATCAAATAGTGATTTTCACATTTAGAGTATCTTTACAGCATGTTTACAAACATAGAAAATCTATATCATACATCTGCCCATTCACAAATATACAAGTTAAAAAAAGAAGAACATAAAGTAAAATAACCAAAACACATTTGTGAATTATGACATTTAGATAAGTTTAAAGAAGGTATTGCACAGTTACACTCTAATTAGAGTGTGTGATTAAAGAATTGCATACAATGTCATCTTGTATAATTTTTGTGGACTTTCAAGAATACAGAAAATCACATAAGTTTCTTGCTAACTTTAAATTCTAGACTTTGTATAAGACGCAAGTTCGAGAACTTAAAGAAGAATGTGAGGAAAAGACCAAAATTTGTAAAGAAATGCAGCAAAAAATACAAGAGTTACAGGATGAGAGGTAGGTTTTGCTAGTTGTACTACTAATACATAAAAGATTAGGATGGCTATTTGTTGTTTTGTTCTCTGCCCTTGCTCCCACCCCTACATTACCCAATTTAAAGTTAAAAATATATATCAATAATTTGCAGAGATTCCTTGGCTGCTCAGCTAGAGATTACTTTGACAAAAGCAGATTCAGAACAACTTGCCCGTTCCATTGCTGAAGAGCAGTACTCTGATTTGGAAAAAGAGAAGATTATGAAAGAGCTGGAGATTAAAGAGATGATGGCAAGGCATAAACAGGAACTTACTGAGAAAGATGCCACCATAGCTTCCGTGAGTTGTATGATTTGTAATTTGGTAGAGGTTGTAGAGCTTGAGTTTTATTTGCAGTTTGAGTTATGCATTGTTATTTAGAATACTCAGAGATATACAAGAGATATATCTAACATTTTTGAAATATTTATTTTTTATGATTGAAATTCAAAAATCTTGTCATGTTTCTTCATGCATCTTTCTGACCATTCATTCTTCTGTGCCCCTACCCCCTTTTCTTTTTCTAGTTGGAGGAAGCAAATAGGACACTAACCAGTGATGTGGCTAATCTTGCTAATGAGAAAGAAGAACTAAACAATAAACTGAAGGAAGTACAAGAACGTATGTATTCTGTGAACCAAATGTACTTTAATTTGAAACCAGTTTTATTCTTTAGTGGTACTGTTTTCTTTTGTAATGAGTTTTCATAGAATTTTTTCAATTACCTTACTACAGAAATTACAAAACTAAAAGAAGAAGAAGCAAATATAGGAAATATTAAAGCACAATTTGAGAAACAGTTGTTGACTGAAAGGACATTAAAAACCCAGGTAAGCAAATGTGTTTAAATGAATGTAGAGATAGTGTTCATGAATCAAATAATTTATAATAGAAAATTTTCCATGGTAAACTATTTATATGTACCATTAATGCTTTATTCATTTTTACCCTGAAAAAAAAATACTGATTTTTTTCTTTCTTCTACTAAGTAGACTTTCATTGTAGTGAAACTGGATCCTTGTGATTCATTATAGAGGATATTCTAATCCAAATGCATTCCACCAGCAAAAGTCTTCATTTCTCTCAAATTATTTGATATTTTACTGGTTTCAGTCTTGATTCCTCTATAAGTTCTATAAAGAAGTATATTTCTGGTTATAATCCAGATTATTTTTTAGAACAAGTGGCATTTTAATGCAAATATATATTTTGGGTCTAACTAGTGAAAATGGAGGGGATTATTTAAATGAGATGAGTGGAAGTGTTCACAGCTAATGCTTAACGTAAACGTGGCATCATTACCTTCTTTTCAGTTATAAGTAATACATGGAATTAAAGCAAGTTTATGTTACTGGATTACAAAGGTGTTAGTTTACAGTTAGAAGTGCCTGGTTGTAGACAGAAGACTTTATTTCTTCACAATGTGTGGTTTTTGTCTCTTTTTTTCTTTACCATGGAAAGGCTGTGAATAAATTGGCTGAGATTATGAATCGGAAGGGTCCAGTCAAACGTGGATCTGACACTGATGTACGGCGGAAGGAAAAGGAAAATAGGAAGCTGCATATGGAACTGAAGTCTGAACGAGAAAAGTTAACCCAAATGATGATCAAATATCAGAAGGAAATAAATGAAATGCAGGCAGTAAGATCCTTTTGCAAATATAAACATTGCAGCATTTTCTGTAATATTGTACAATTGGCTACAAATTCTACGTGATTTTCTACTTATATTTTATCTGAGTAACCAAATATTGGGATAATAGGAAATCTTGCAATTTATCCCTACAGCAAATTGCAGAAGAGAGTCAGATCCGGATTGAGCTGCAGATGACTCTGGACAGCAAGGACAGTGACATTGAACAGCTTCGTTCCCAGCTGCAGTCCCTGCACATCGGGCTGGACAACAGCAGCATTGGCAGCGGGCCTGGAGATGCTGAGGCAGATGATGGATTCCCTGGTATGTTAATCTTAATAATATTTCTGCATTAACTGGGTTTATATCAATGTTTTACGATCGAAGTTGATGATCTGATGATTCTGTGACTTTTCATCTATTTTACACCATCTTATCAATCCTTTGATAGGGATCACTATCCACTACTAACTAAATCTGTCTGTAATCATACTTCATCTTGAAATTTATTTTAAAAAATTCTACTGCACACCATTAGAGCTAAATATTTTTTTCACTTGTGGTGGTTCCTTTGCAGTTACTGTGTTTATGTGATGAAATATAAAACTAATACTCTTTTCATAGAGATTCTGTTTTGACTTCTTTTCTACTTTTCCTCCTTTATGCTTTATGTTTAGTCCGTATCACTCAATCCCACACTATGGAATCCATGTCCTTTACCTATCAGCACTCTTCCACCTCTGTCAGTATTGCCACTAAGCCTTCCAGTTCTCGCACGCTTCTTGATTCTGATTCTGACTCAGAGGAAGAACCTTTGTCTTGTTCACACAGTCCTACAGAAGTTGATAGCACAGGTGACATGCCTGAGAAGTGTTTGGCTTTGTTCTTACTGTGTCCTTTTTTCTGTTTCAAAACTAACACTCTTAATGCATTATTAAAACAAAGAAACATAAATCTGGCAGTTAACACACTAAACTGACAGTAAACATTGCCATCAAAGACACAACAAATAAATGGCCTGTTTTCTCTAAACGTTTGCAAATACTTGCTGCCATGTCTTAAGCCACCATTTTTATTAAAGCATTGAATAAATGAGCCTTATGGCCTTGTTTTCAAGGTAACCTCTCTCCAGTGTTTGCAGCTATCTGTATGGCCCTACAAAAAGTTGAATCTTTGTGTTAAAGTGAAGTATGGAAACATCTGACTCCTCACATCTAAACATTGTCATCTTCTTGTAGAAATTCAATCTTCTGAGTATTACATTGTTTTGCCTTAATTTAAATCTTATATTTGATTCTTTTGTGGTAAGGCAAGCAAGATTTGTTAATTTTCCCAGATACATAAAGTATATAATGAATGATAAGACTCCAGTAAAACAGAACTGTGTTCTACTAATTCTATGTTCATTTTATATGACTGCACCTACACTCTTTCGAACAAAGCTTCTGTTTACTCTTAATGTCATAGGTAGGTTTTTTAGTTGCATTCAAATTCCTGTATGTCACTGGAGGTTCCTTTAAAGTGTGAATACCTTTCCACTGAAGGCAAAACTTCTTTTAGGATATCGACATTACTTCATTGAACTAGAGTAAAGACTAATGTATTTTTCTCTATTTTCCTCATTCTCTGTTTTTTACTATGAGGCTTCTAATAAAAGAAAAGTTATGTACATGCATAATTTTTTTCTTGTTAGCTGCTGTCATGGTTTGTGCATGGTTTTCTTTTGTTCTAAAGTAGAAATCATATCTAAGCTAGGACTTCTTGCTGACATAATTACAACAGGTTTGAGGTATGATCAGTGTGTTTTGTTGTTTCTTTCCCTCCTATTGCTTTATAAGCATGTGCTGCGAAAATTTTTGAATATTCTGTCCTTTCTCTGATCTGTAATCATTGAAGAATTATAATCAGAAACTCATTTTGTCCAATTTCGTGCAATGGTATTAGAGATTACAGAGAAAAATAGGAAAAACATTATATTTTAGGAAATAAGAAAAGCATGCATACTTTTTGCCCTACACATGCTTCCTGGATGTGGGGTAGGATTTTTTTTCATCAGCATTATGCTTGCTACACTTTGTATCAGGTGTAGTTGAAAGGAACAATGTAAGTGTCAGGTATGAGGCAAAATACATTTTATAGAACTGCATCATGTACTCAGTATATACATTAAAATGGGTTATCAACAGGCAATGCTGGTAGAGCAATAAATGTTGAAGACTGTGTATCCGAATACATAACCTTGCTTCAAGTCTCTCTAGGCACAATAACAATTCTATGAATATCTAATAACTATTTGTTCTGCTACGTTAAACATGGGCAGGAACCTGCAAATGCCCTCCGGTGAGAAAGAAAATAACATTTGCAATTTTGGAGTATGTTTTTACTCCTTCCACGGTTTTGTGTTTGTTAATGCTTAAGGCTTCATTATTTTTGACTTGGAGATTCCTCAGCAGCAGTAGAGGTTATCTGCTAGGGTAGAAAACTCTTTGGAAAAATATTATTCTAATTGAGTAGTTGCTCCTAATAAAGCAGAGGGGAAAGAAGTGCTTGTGTTAAGTGCAGCTATAAAAATAGGGTCAAAGGCTGTGTGATCCTGTGTGTCACCTACCACTGAGAAAGTGTGATCCTGGTGAGCTTTTGGTTGTGTCAGTACTATAGTTACTGCTGTAAATGTGTGTCAAGCAACAGCTGAGCACTTAATACTGTTGATAAATCAAATCTGACTAATGTGCCAGTGTAATATAAAATACTGCAAGTGTGTGAAAGGGCAGTTGAATTCAGGCAAGGCCTAAGGATTAACCAAAAATTACTTATTTCGAATTAGAAAGCCTAGGAGATACAGGCAGAATTAGAGAAAAGAAAAATTTTCAGACCAAAAAGTGTATTAGAATACTAAACTGACATTTTCCCCAGCATATGGGTTATTTGTGGTGGTAATTTGCCTTTTTTTGTCTTGAACTGGGTGTTATGTGGTCTGTACTAATAATACCTTTAGATGCTGTTGTAAAAGGTAAAGGTTGATAGACATAAGGCTTTTATGACTTGAAAAAATTACTAAAGGGAATGTGTGTGCTACAATTGCAAGTTTGCTCTTTCCCTTCCTCCTCGTGCTTACTACTTTTTTGTGATTGCATTGCTGGTTATTGGCTGTATTCATTAAAGATTATTTAATGTATTCCTGAACATTTACTGTGCTAAACTTTGCAAGACCTTGTACTGTTAAATAGGTCTTATGTTTGCTCTGTTGCTTTATTATTGATCTTCGGTAACTATTTTAAAATGCACAGTAGTCTCAAAAATGATGTTTTGTGAATATTTATGTTCTTTAATATATATATCTATTTCAGAATCAAGATTGGAAGGCTGGCTATCACTGCCTGTTAGAAATAACACTAAAAAATTTGGATGGGTTAAAAAGGTAAGAAAACCAGATTTCTGGTCTTGTTTCATGCATAGTCTGGATTTTAATCTGAATGCAGATTTTCAACACTTCCATTTTTATTTGATATGTGTTCTCTCATTACTTAAATGTATAAAATATGTTAGCTGGGATAGCTACCTCTGAGGGGAGCAGCTTAAGACAATTTTAATATGTTAAGACACTTCTTTGTCCAGCCAGAGGGGAGAAGAATCATTCATGGTCTTCAAACATTTATACATGCAGCTGTAAACATTCCCAACAGTATTTCATAGTTGAAATTCAGCAGAGGCTGGAAGCAGATGCCTTTGACAATTTCTTTATTTAGGAGATAAAACTAGCAACTACTTATCTGCCTTGTGCAGCCTTCACTTGTTTACTGCTTCTCAGTAACGTCTTTGATGGGTCTTTGTCCAAAATATAACATACACATTTTCATACCAGTTTGCTTACTGCTCAGTCATACTGTTAATTCTAGCCAAAATTCTAGAAATAGGGCATCTTCTAGGTAATTAGGTTTTTAATGAATATTGCTGGCTGTTCTGGTAAGTATAATAGTGATCTTTTTAGGTATGATCTCTTATATGACCTGCACACAGTCATCATAAGATGACACTGACTCTACCAGTTCAAGAAAAAATTAAATCAATAAAATAGAAAGGAAAAGCTTTTATCTTACTTTCTTCCAGACTTTAGATTTGTCTCTTCACAGATACTTAAATCTGTTTAGGTATCAACGAGTCTGATAACATATATTGATTTATCCAGTAATCAGGATTTCATTTGTTGTGCAGTGAATTTCTTGGCAAATCATGGACTTAGCATACAGTACTGTTATTGTTTATTTAGGTACCATTTAATAAAATCATAGAAAAATATCAATGCAACATCTGTGGTAATTGCTGGGACATCTCTGATCTCTGTGATGAGCTGGATTAAAATGTATATTTTATCCTTTGCTGTCTCCTAACAGTATGTAATTGTAAGCAGTAAGAAGATCCTATTCTATGACAGCGAACAAGATAAAGAACAATCTAATCCCTATATGGTATTGGATATAGAGTAAGTACTGCCATGTGTGATTCCTTCTTCTGATTTGCAGGTGAATTTTGTTGAAATGATTGTGACCAAAGGCCTTTTGAGATCCAGTCTGGGATCACAACGTCACATGGGGCATTTTTTTTTTTTTTAATTTGAACTACAGAGCTGGGCCCCTTAGGGTACCCACTGTGGGAAAGAGTTGAGTTTGCTGTAGGCATTGGTGCAGCAGCAGCAGCAGCAGCATGGTGTTCAGACTGATCCAGGGAACTCCACTGAGCCTGATGTAACTGAACTGCTCCCACGAGCTCAGCTAGACCTTCCTCACATACACATGGGAGCAAATCATGATTAGAGAACTGTAGCAGAGAGGCTATAATTTTCAGTGTTCTATATTTTCTCTTACAACATGTCCTTACAGGTGGGTTGTATAATTAATTAATTTTCTTAATAAATGTAGAATGTGTGTATTCAGAGGTTGGAGCGCAGGGAGAGGATTATGTTAGAAAGCTGCCAGCAATCATTAAAGTCACATGATGGTGGTTTTATTTATCCGTGCTGATATTTTTTTTGCAAATATAGCTGGATTCTTGTGAGTTCTTTTTATTTAGGGTTTTGGGAGTTCATGTGCAGGGTTGAAAGATAGGACTGGATTAAGTGATGAGAAATTTGTACTGACAAATCTTTAATGGCTCTAAGTCTTAATGTGTATCCTAAATTAATCTGTCAAATTTATTATTTTGGTAACATTCATTTTTGTCCTTATTGAAATAATTTCCTATAGCAAACTCTTCCATGTCCGACCAGTCACTCAGACTGATGTGTACAGAGCAGATTCCAAGGAGATTCCAAGGATATTCCAGGTATTCATTAATAAATTAATGTTTCTAGTGTAACAGACATGGTATTTCACACATTGTCAAAAATATTGTCTAATGAAATATTTACTAAAAAATTATTTAAAAATTACTTCTATTGTAATTCTTCAGTCTTTCTACTTAGATAGTTACTCTGAATTTACATTTGCCGTCTAGGAGTACTGAGATTATTTTGCTTTGATTCTAGATTCTATATGCTAATGAAGGAGAGAGCAAAAAGGAACAGGAATTTCCTGTGGAGCCCATGGGAGAGAAGTCAAATTACATTTGTCACAAAGGACATGAGTTTATACCTACTCTTTACCACTTTCCAACCAATTGTGAAGCTTGTATGAAGCCACTGTGGCATATGTTTAAACCTCCTCCTGCTCTGGAATGTCGCCGCTGCCACATCAAATGTCACAAAGATCACATGGATAAAAAAGAAGAGATTATAGCGCCTTGCAAAGGTAAATAGCAAGTATTTGAATATGCATATGGTGCTGGAGTCACAAGGCATTCTGATAGGTCAGAGGGTTCTATTAATGATCTGATACCAACTAAATGTAAGCAGGTCAGTTTTTCTTTTATTAATACGTAGCCATCAGCACCTTTCCAAGGGTGTCTCTGTGAGGGTCACTCACTGCTGTGAGTTAATGGCATGTGACCATGATACCTCTGTACCTGTTGTGTTGGCAACCTCATGCAGTAAAGCAGGGTGCTTGTAAGGCTGCTCACACTGTGTTGTGCTCTTTGTGTTAGTGGGTGTTACGGAAGAGATGACATTTGGTGAAGGTTACGCATTGTGACTCAATGTTATATAATTTTTTGGGCTCAGGCACACACTTTTCCATAGTACTAAATTGTTACTTTCTAAATATAAGGAGGAAGCACTGCCAGCAGCCAGGAAAGTTAATTTGGCAAAATCTGGTTCATTTTCTTTTGATTTCACTGTGTTGACTCTGGGAGTACCATAATCTGACAACTAATGTTGGGACGTGTTTAGAATAATAACAGTATTCATTTTTATTTTAAAAATTATTCTTACAGTGTACTATGATATTTCTACGGCAAAGAATCTACTACTGTTAGCTAATTCTACGGAAGAGCAGCAAAAATGGGTGAGCCGACTGGTGAAAAAAATACCCAAGAAGCCTCCAGCACCAGACCCCTTTGCTCGATCTTCTCCCAGAACTTCCATGAAGGTACAGCCAAACCAGTCCATCAGACGACCAAGTCGACAGCTTCCTCCAAACAAACCAAGGTGACACAAGGGCTGCTATTTAAGTTATTGCTTTAAGCGTTTTACTACAATTAATGTCATATAAGTTGATAGGAATAATTGACCACAAATGTAGTTGGCTAGTGATGTGGGGTCTAGCATGTAATCTTCTATAAACCTCATTTAGGTTACAAAAAGGTCCACTAGAAGAGCCACCATGTTTGTTCCCTTGTTTGCAGGACCTTGCACTATGTGTTAGTTAACTCTACCATATTGATAATGGATCTTACCTGTAACAGGCAGAACATGTACCATCATCTGTGACCTAATACTTCCTGTGAACTGATAGGGAAAATGGTGTTTAACCAGGCAAAGAGTCGGTGAGAAGGGGTGTGAAGATTTAAAAAAAAAAAAAAAAAGCTTAAAAATTTTCAGTGTGGCCACTACAGTACCTGATTTGAGGTTGAGCAATGATGTTAGGTGTTTGTGGTTCTGATGAACCTTGGAGAGAATTAGGTGCCTTCAAAAAGCAGTCTAGAAGGCCTCACACGTCACAAAAAAAACTACCTGTGTTTCGTTTCTTATTGCTCAGTTTTGAGGCATGTGTTTAAATTCCTGCCCTGCTCTAAAGTTAGACAGTTGATTGGGGATTCGTATGTTTGTGTGTTTCATCTGACCAAATGTATGTATTTCCATGTCTGACTCCATTTAGGAAGAGTTTTGTCAGGGTTCTTGTCCTAGTGTACAAAAGGAGCACACAGCTGATATGGCGAATCTTGCTTCTGTGTCTCTGCCCACACGGGTTCCACAGTGTAGAGCCTGTTGCTGTAGTGGCAGGCACCTGTCTGAGCATCACTTGTGCTTTTTGAAAGAGAGCAGGAAGATGGGAGGCAGAGGGGGTCACTATTTGGTCAAGTCATTTACCCAAAGGATGAGAGAATTTGGTTTCAATTCCTTATTCAGTCTAGAAGGACTCATGCTCATGTCTCGTGATTCCTAAAAGTGATAGCATTCTGCAGGTAGCATTTATGTGATTGCACAGTACAGAGTTTCTGGTTTTCTTCCAGTGTACCTTTTTCATGACCTGCAGCACTAGCTAATATTGTGCTTCTATCAGTCCCCAGTTGCTGGCAGCCTGTGAAAAGGTTGGCCTGACTTGTTTGTTACAGTATTCCAGCAGCAATGGACAGTTCAGCAAAGGCTTAACATTTTTCTCCAGGGAGGTAATTTGGCAGTGGCTAGACAGGATTGCTGTCCTTATGTCTGTGACCAGACTGGCACCAGTGTCTCAGCTGGCTGGGTGAGAACAGGGTTGGTTGAGTTGCCAGAGTTACAGGAGGGAATGCAGGAAAGTGCTTGCTGTGATGCTGCCGTTACTCCAAAACATCCTTATGCTGCAAAGAGTTACATCTTAAACAAATATTGGTATTTTAATGGGTGGAAATGCATAGTGAAAGGACTTGAATTAATTTAATTTCACTTCCCTCCTAACTTTCATGCAGTCTAATTTTTGGTGATTTAATTTACATATTTAAAAGAGAGTCAGACCTCATAATTTGGATTTTAAATTAATAGATTTTTTTTATTATAATCATGAAGGAAAAAGGGGTTTAATCACTTTTTAGGGACCCATTATTGAAGAGTTTCTTTGTGCAAAACTAATGAAAATACCAATGATAGGATTGAAGCACGAATCAAGGAAACATTCATGACAACTTGGAGGACAAGCAGAATGCTTTTCTTCTGTACTAAATTAGACTGTGTTTACAGTCTAATTTAGTAGCATTATTCTGTTTCTTACTGTTTATATGTAAAGGTAGATTATAAATTCTGATTCTTTTTCGATAGCTATTCTTAGATGTTCTGAAAATAATTTTTCTCCTTCCAACATCCTTTTTTTAATCTTCATGACCTTTTGTACAAAATGGTATAATAACACAGTATTTACTCTACCATTCTATACTGGTGGAAAAAGGGGGAGGATGAATATTTTTGTATGTAAACCATTTTACTTTTTCAGTTAAAGTTTCCAAGTTAGCTTTGCAAATGTACCTAACAGATGAAAAGTGTAGCTCTCTGAGGTCGTGTCACCTATCACCTTACTAATGCAGGTCTGTCAAACCAGTGGAAATTTGTATGGATTTAAACACCTTTAATTAAGAAACCACATACTCATAAATTACTGTAATGGCTGTGGCCAATTTATATCTGACTGGTGCTTCTATGAGGCTTTTGTGGAAGGGCTTTACCATATGGAATAATAAATTTTCCTTTATGAACTTTATTAAGAATGAAGATGGGGACTGAGTGGCTGGGGACATGCAGTGGGTCCTGACAGCAGGGCAGGCTCTGGGACTGCACCAAAAGGAGCACAGCCAGATGATTAAAGGAATAGGTTATCCACCTCTGTTCACTCCATAGTCTGCTGCAAGATAGTGCCTCTGTGTCTGAGCCCTGAAATTCCAGCTAGACAATGACACACCGGGGAAGGACCAAGCAGAGGCCACCAGGATGGTCAGAGCAGATGCCTGAGGGAGCTGGGCTTGTTCAACCCAGATGAAGGACATCTCCAGGGACTGTCATAGCAGCCTGCCCTGGCCTGTGGGGAGGGTATCCAAGAGACGGAGCCAGGCTCTGCAGTGCTGCATGGTGGGAGGGTGAGAAACAAGGGGCTCACTTGAACCAAGAGACTTTCCAGCTGGATAGAAGGAAAAGTCAATGCAGGGAGGCAGGCTGGTGAGGTTGGACAGGCTCCATCCCTGGAGGCTTCCAAGACCTGACAGGACAAGGCCTTGAGCGTCTTGGGCTTGCCTTGTAGCTGCTTTGAGCAGGAGGTTGGGCTAGAAACTTCATGAGCTTCCTTCCAAGCTGCATGGTCCTAAAAATGCTGTCCCTCCTAGGAATTTCACACAGTGATTGTTTCTCCCGAGGTTTTCATGGCTGTTGTTCTTTGTGATGATTTAAGAAAGGGCAAACCAGATTTTCCTACAGACCATATAACTTCTGTTTAGCTGTCTGTTCGATCATGCCAAAAGAATAATTTCAAATTGAAAAAAAATCAACTTTAATGTATTTTAATTCCTAATTAATTAAGTTTTATAGCTGTAGTTTATATAACAAATTAATATTGAGCCTTTTCAGGGGTATATCACATTTAAAGGTTCAAATAGTTTAAAACTTTAAAACCTAAAAATGCAAATCCTCCTGAAACCCATTTTGTTTAGAGCATGTGATTAACTATATTAAACAGTGTAGTCTGTTTACACTGATGCTCTGTTAGAGTAAGGTTTCTATGTCTGCCTCCTATGCTCGGCATATAATCCGGGTTAAAAGTCCTTTGAGCTCACTGAAGAGACAACTAGACTGGGGTTCATTTCTTGTAGCTATAGCAGTTGAGAAGTTACTACTTAAGATATTTGTCTAAGATCCTTCAATAACTACAGAAAGAGATGAATGCTTCTAGACAATGATTCACTCCATCCCAAAACAAATGTCTTAAATAAGTAAAATGAGTCATTTGCTGACAGAGTTTGCCTTGCTTGCTTTCTTTGTTCTATAGTGACCATAGAAGGAGCACAGACAGCAAGGCCCAGAGAACAAGTTGATATATCCTCTTTTTTGGCATTGCTTAGATTTAAGCCATGAGCTACAGAATAGCTGTATAGTGTAATCACGCTGTATTTGGGATACAGTAAAATAATGCTGTATTTTGTATGTTTAGAGGAAGGTTTCTTATTCATTGTTCTGTTCAGCAATCAAAGTTACTTGATTTTCTTGGAAAAATTGTTAGCTTTGCATTGTTGTCTGGAAAGAGATAAAAGGAGAGCATAAAACCACCTGAGTCAACAAGAACAGCAGCAAAACAAAAAGCAGCTAATTTTATAAAATGTACTTGTTGGTCTTTCCTACTGAAATTTTTTTGGGAAAAAAATCAATATGGTAGGTGTTCTATATTGAATTAAATTATTTTTGAGATGAATTTTCAATGAGTACAATATTCCTAGCTTACATGAACACTAACTGAATCTTGATATTCCATGACAGACAAAGGAACAAACCCATCTACCTAAAATAGTCTTTTAGTTAAAAAGGTTTAATGATAACAAAAGGAATTTGGAAGACTTTCATAGAAGTGTCACACTCATTAAACATCAAACCCTCCTGTTGCAGATTACTTGATCTGGCATTTAAGGACTGGGATTGGTCATTTGATGATGTTGATGATATTGATGGTGATGATGATGACGATGTTTTTGATTTCTGAAGAAGTATAAGGGGTAAATCTAAAATAGAGAGGAATGGATTTGTTTGCCTTTGAATACAGCATGCTATGTTGGATTTTGTTTCTCAAAGCAGAGAAAATATAAGATCTCATTTTAATATTTTAAACAGTGAAAATGAGATTCTGTTCATGATGTTGAACTTTTAGAGGAGTCATTTTCATTAGAACAAGTTGTTGCCTTTGTCAGTGTTTTCATTTTTCTAATTTTAGATCTTTTTTTTTTCCAAATTCATGTCTGCCTGCCTGAAAAAAAAACCCTGCTGTTGTCAGTCATTGCTCATGTATAATGCTAATACTTTTAACCTCAGCAGAGAGTATTTGAAGGATAAAAGGAAGATAGTAGCAGCTGGATGTTTAGCTGGAATAGACTTAGCATTTACAAATACTTTTCATTTTTAAACTTTTAATATAAACTGACTATGGCTAGCAGACATGAAATCACTGGAGTTCTGCATTTTGCTTTTCTACCTTGTGTTCTGAAGTGAATTTGACTTGGCTTTCCTTTGCAGTGCTGTGCTTTCTGGGTAGCTAACCATGCATTTGAAAATTATGTAAACAAATGGGCTTTGCAGCTTCTGTGATGTGGTTTCCTTGACTGCTTTAGGAAAGATCCGGCCATTGCAGTGATTTAATTTGTCCCATGGCTTAATTGTGAATGTACTGGAAATAGTGTTACCTATTTTATAGATCTCAGTTTAATAATTTTATATGTTGATGCAATCTTTCATTTACACAGAAAAAAACCTCTAAATGTTAAATGCCTGAGAATTCTTTCAAACAGTTTGTGAGGTTTTTCTCAGCCATATAAAAGAAGGGGCGATGGCAGCAGCACTGGGGCTGCACCTCAGCTGTGCTCAGGGAACTGAGACACCAGCTCCTGTGGAATTAACCAGCTGAGCGTTCACAGTAACAAGCATTGCGTTAATTAAATATACTGCATCTTTATGTACTAAAAGTTTACAAGTCACTAATCTTTTAGAAGTGACTATTACCTTGTGCATATTGTACCCTCATATATTATAAGGGGGTTTAACTGATTTGGGATCATAATGCCTAAGGATGCGCTGTCCTTAAGTAACAATGCTGTTGGATGCACTTCTCCCAAGTATGATGATGAGCCCATCTTAAATTAAGACTTTGGAAAAGTATGTTTTTGTCAGATTTACATTTGTTGCATTTACTGACCAACCTTCCTGCTTCTTTTTCAGCTAACTGCTTTCCGTGAATGCAGACACAGTTCAAGGTGATAATTTTCTTCCCATTACAGCAAGACTGAAACATATCCCAAAATATATTAAAAATATATATTTTCCTGAGAGATTGTGCTATATATATCAGAGGTTTACATTTTTGCTGCAATATAAATTACTAATCTGAGGGTTTTCCTGTATTCTCCCAAGTGACTGATCAATTGAGGAATGGTTGGCAAATAGTAAAAGGATATGTTAGGTAACCTTTTAAACTCTGTTCCACAAAAGCTTTCTTGGCAAGACACATACACTACATTTCATTAAAGGATTGAGAGGAATGAATATTAAATGGAAGAAACTGATTTCTCAGCTTTTGTAAAGATGCCACCAGCACGTCTGCAACCAGAACCGGAGGAAGATCCACCATAGTGATATAGACTGCATCTGTAAGAAGTGACCATTATACTGTGTATATATATTGTACTGTAATACTGCAAGAGGGTTTTAAAAATCTTTCCACTTTATTTTTTTATGCTTATTAATCAGATACCGTTACTTATTGCAGTTGCAACTATGCACTTGTATAAAGCCATACTGTTGAAGTTTATATCATTCATACACGTCTATCAGAAGCTGCATGTCAGTGTTCAGCAGCTAGTATAGGTTTGAAGTATGTACTAATTTCAGCTGTACGTCATCATGGGCAGTCCTGTTTTACCTGTCTAATAGCCTTAATTTAAACTTTTTTCAATTTTTTTTGCCCATTCTTTCTATTTAAGGAAAAAGAAAGTTTACCGGCTCTTAGAATGCAATTTTGCTTTGTGGCAGAAAAAATAGTGCACTATTTTTACACCTAGTAAGTATATCAATGTCAGCCTATTTTGAATGTATATTGACTGGTTTTAAGGGTGGAGAAGTGTTGGTTACAGAAACAATGTCGGAGAGCATTGGAATTACCAGACCATTTGCTTGTACATGTAACTGCTCATCCAGCCCTTTTTACGAACCTCAGTACTAGTTATTGACTTATATTAACCCTCATTAAGTGCTATGAAACTTCATTTTGCCTTGTTTTTGCATACTCTCCTAGATGTGTTTTTTTTTTTTATTTTTGGAAAGAAAAAGAATCTGTGACTATTTTTACATTTCACAACACAATATCCAAGGACTGTCACAAACTTTAAGAAAAGTAAAACATACTGTAGATGTATTTTAAAGTTTTAATCTGGTTCTCTAGCACATAGCTGTAGGCATAGATAAATATTTCAGTAGTGCGTTTTGAGAACTGATAGCTGGGAAGAAAGGGCCTCAGAGGCACTTAACCTGACTTCTTTTTTTTAACTTGGAGTTGTACAAAAAATATAATTTATGTGGGCTCATTCATGATGTGTTCATAATTATCCCAGAAAATGCATGTTTTATACAACTACAGTATGTGATGTTAAACATATTGACAGTAAAAAATATAGTCTCCTATTTGGTCTCTTTATATATATATATAAATATATATATATATTTAAAATATATATATATATAAAATATTGTGTGGGAGTGCAGTAATTTAAAATATGATCTAACACTTCAATGAAGGAGGACATTTCACTTTAAAATTTTTTTTGTTTTTGTTTTTTAAAGAGTGTTGAAATGTTTGGAAGGATAGGACCATGATTTATTTAACACTATCATGAAAAGTGAACTTGGAAACACTGAAATACTGAAAATTAAAAAATATATTTACATTTTGTAACCTCTACTACAGTTCAGCTTAACAGAGCCAGAATGTATTCAGTCTTCTATTTATGCACTCACAAAGTAAAATGTTGTTTGTGAGTTCTTAAAATCGAAGCTAAAACTTTCATATCATTTTTTATTAGGTATTCTAACCCAGCGCACAGCTACAGTGTTTTTTCCCTGCTTGTTTTGATTTACAGAAATACGGTATATTTTTAGGTGATGCAGATATGCATAGAGAACAACATTAAAAATGTATACAGTAAAACTGTTTCCGTTCACTGAATGCATAAATATTTTATATATATATATAAAAAAATGTTACATTGTGGGAAGTTCTATCCTTTTCTGAATTGGAGAATATTATATATATATTTTTAAATAAACTATTTGAGTAAGGTAAAATAGTTCCTGAACTTGAGAAGCTGGTAATTAATTGAATTTAATTGAATTTAATTATAGAGGCAACTACTGCGGCAGACATGGGAAAGGCAAGGACAAAGCCTGTGTGAGGAGGGAGCGCAGACTCCAGGGGAGCTGTTTGGCAGCTCCTCCACTGCTGGGGCTGGATCCATTGCACTTTTCTCTCCCTGGCCTGCCCTCATTTACTGTTAATCCCTGGGGCCCTGTTAAGCCTGACATTTCAGGAAATGTACTATATTATAGTATTTACTGGCCCCAGTTTATACGTTCTGTGCATTTATACATTGCAGCAGGCTGTATTGAGATGGTGTTGTAGAGCAGTACAGGCTGAGAGAGCGCACTGGAGGTCCTGTGCTCTGACCTCTACCTCAGAGCAGGGCTAACTTAGCACCAGTTCCTCAAGGCCAGTGGTATGATGTGTATGAACCTTGATTTGTACACAGGACACAAAAGGCAAAGCTGCTCTTCTGTTCTTCTCACTTGTCCTACTGTGAAACGCAAAGAACTCTTAAATGCCGGTTCCTGGAGATTGTGTTGTTTCCTTATTGTCCAGTGGTGACCTTTTAACATTTTTGAGAGAAGGGTATATTCATGAACTAAAGAATATTTTTCTTGAAAGCCACAGATGTTTAAACACTTTCATTTTGTAACAGGGTTGTCCCAGCAAACAGGACATTTTTATGGCCTGAATGATTTATCTATAGAAAATTCTGTCACTGCAAGTCCTTTTGTTTCACAAGAGTAAACAAGTAGCATAGCCAAGCTGCATATTAACCTTCTGGAAAAATCAGGGTTCAAACTTGGATCCAGAAGCTTCGGACACTTGTAGGGAAGTTGCTCTTTAGTTCCCAATCCAAAAGCTCACCAGCAGAGAAGCTGGACAGGAAGACCCCGTTGGAGTTACCGTGTCAGTTGTCAGAAAGACCTTTCTGCAAGGAGATTTCCACTTCTGTCCTAGTTGTGTGCTGCAATTCCCTACTTCTAGTGTTTCCTGCCAAAGCGCAGCCCCTCCCAGCACTACCAGCAATCCAGCACCACGTCTGCTTTTACTAGAGGAAAACTGTGGTTCTTGTGCTTCTGAGCATGGTTGATGCTGTAACCAAAATGTGACCCAGAATCACATACCATGTAGGACTTGGAAACATGCAAGAGGCCCATGGATCTCGGCAGTCAGTGACAGGGGCCAGATTAAAAACATCACTGAAATTCCACTGCAAGTGTCCAGATCTCTTACTACCTCTTGATGGCACTGAACCTCCTACATTTTGACAGACATTCAGTGGCTCTCTGAAGGCACCAAGGCCAGAAAAGCTACCAGTGAAATTGTATGCTTTTTCTCTTTAGTTTCTCAGGCAGTGTCAAGTGATCATGAGAAATTTGAGCATTTGTGTTTGTAATCTTATAATCTATTAGTTTCCCATCTAGCTTTGAGAGAATCATCCTTGGAAGAGGATTTATATATTTTGGTCTCAAGTGCCTTTACCCGTCATATGCTTGTGAGGTGATATTTGGGATGCTGCTGTGAAAGGGGGAAATGTATATGAAAACAAACTTCTTACCTGCATTGCTCTTACAAACTCTTACTGTCTCCTAATTCTGTTTCTGAGGCAGGTGAACATAACAGTACATGGTCCACTTCAGTGAACTTGAGTATTTCAGTCTCTTTCACATTCCTGGATAGTTTGCCTCAGCATTGATGTTAAAATAAGGATTAATTTATTTTATCATAGAATCAGAGACTATCTCAAGTTGGAAGGGACCCATAAAGATCATGGAGTCCAACTTCCTGCTCTTCACAGGACAACCTAAAACTAAATCATATGACTAACAGCATCATCCAGACACTCCTTGAACTTTGACAGGCTTGGTGCCTTTTCAGTGCATTACAGTTTTTTATGGACTGTCATCTCTGCACATAGTACACTTTAAACTGAAAACATTATTATTTTTAAGATTAGCTTCTGAACCACTTAGGGTTTTATCAGCATCCCAAGGATCATGTGTTTTTTCCTACTGCTTAGAAGTATCCTCCATAAGAGCAGGAAGGAGTCTTCTTTTGGATCTCTGTAAAATATGTTGATGGAGTGGTTCTGAAACTAGTTTGTGTTCTTGGTTGAAGTTGCCTATCAAGTGGACAGGAATATACTCAGACATTCTCATCTGAGAAATGAGATGAGTCTATTGAGATGTATGTGGCTGAAAAGAGCACCGTGGTTAACACATCGAGCCTAATTGTCCCCAGAAACTACTGTAGTGAATGGAAAATCTCACTGTAAAACCACAGCTCCAAGAAGTGGGGATGCAGAGGAACTGTAATTTATTGGCACAAGGATGCTGATTACCAGGCCTTATTAATGAAGATTGGCGTTTGGAGTCTTTGCCCCTTTGTAGGAAGGAAGCATTGTTTTATAAAGGTAAGAAAGACACGTTACTGCTTGCTAATGGAAGGGTGAAGCCTTGGATTTGACTGCAGGTGGTTTTGCTCCAATAATCTTAAGAGAAGCTCCATGATAAAAGTGATCTTTCAAGAGGAAAGTCACAGTGAAAGCCAACAAAATTTCAAAGTTATAAATGTATGTAGTCCCGCATACTTTAAAGAAATCTGGAAACACGTCACCCTGAAAAGAAAGGGCAGAGAGCACAGTAATTTCATTTTTTGAAGGATCTACATAGAAATGCTTTCACAGACAAGACAACCACATGTGATGCTTTGGTCTATTGCCCCATTTTGAGGTTGAGGCCTTTGGTGTTTGTTCAGAGATGTGAGCCTGTTTGTATGTATACTCTTACACTGTGTACCAGTGGGCCTCGTAGGTCATCTAGTTCTTGTCATTTGTTATTGCTCTTTGGGGTGTTTTTTGCCCAGGATGCTGTTGCAGCACTGGGTAAGCATGGCCACCCAATAAGAAGTACATCAGGCTTGTGAGATCACTGCCAATCCTCTTCCTTTGGGTCACCAACTTCAGGCACTGAATTGCCTTGGATATGTGCTACTTTTTATTAACAAGTGAACTGGTGGAAATGTTTTCTGGAGGTATCTGAGATATTAAATAACTTTTTTGAGGCTGAAGGAGCCAGGAGTCCCACTGTCTGAGCCCTGTTTCATATCTGCTTGCCCTGGTGGTGTCTCTTGCCTCAGCTGTGTTCCACTTTCCAATAGACTCTCAAAGCAGATCTTGCACATGGGTGCAGGTCTGGCTGCAGCTTCAGGACTTGCATTTATTTGCTGGATCCCATGGCCTCATGTGTCTGTGTGATGTCCAGCATATTACAATCCTTATGTCCCGGAGGCCAACAAATTCAGTAGGACCTGTGTAGCCATTACCCCCCTCTGCAGTGATGGAAGGACTAGATAAATACAATAAGAAGGCTCCCCTACATGTTTCGTATCCTGTTCAGAGATACAGCAATGGGAGTTGTATTACTGGAAGGGGGGCAAACATGCAAGCTTAAAAAAAAAAAAAACAAAGCTGAGAGAGGAAAGTATCCTTGAGCTCAGAGTCCATGAGGACTGAAAGTTGTGCCAACAGTGCATATCATGGGAAAAAAATTTAAATCTCACAAGATAAGTCGCTCTCTTGAAAGTCAGACCACTGGAATCTTTATTTAGTCAGTTGCTCAAAGGTGAAAGAATTTCTTTACAGTAATTGGGTACTTAAAATATGCTTTACACGAGCTCAATTTGTGCTCCATTAGTCATGATTTACATGACAGAGAGGACGCTGAGGCATAGGATGTGTATTCTTCCATTTATGATTTTCATATAATTTGAGTCAGGTCAGCATCTTGGTATTGTTGGCCAGAGCCTTCAAATTCCAAAGCAGAATTCTTGTACATCGCAGAGCAGGCATATGCACCGATGACTTGCAATTACAATAAGGTGGTAAGTAGGATTGATTTCAGCATGGAGCCATGTTACTATTCAGTTTAAATCAGAATTATCATTAGCTAACTTCTCTTGTCACATTTTAGGCTGGTGCAGGTTCTGTTCTTTACATCAGTTTCCAGAATACTTGACAGATAAAACAAGATGTCTGTCCAGTTAAGGTTCCCTCCTTGTGAGTCGGTGATAGCACATAATGCACAGAAGTACTTGTTTAGGCTACTGACAATTTAAGACAGTTACGAGCTGAAATAATGAAACAAAACAGGGTGTTAACAAAATTTTGACAAGTATTTAAATTGTCTTTCAGGTATCCCCAGTTAAATTTCATCAAAAGTATAATTTTAAAAACCTCTTATTTTACCCCTAGTCCAAAGACTGGGTTATTTTTCAAGACAGAGATGGTGTTTGCCCCAAACCTCTTCCAGTGTAGAATGGAATAGTTGACATCTTTAACTTGAAAATATCTGTATGTCTATCTTGCCATCAGGCAGGAAACACCTGAGGTCCATCAGGACTCAGGTCTCTGAGACTGCCAAGATCTTGCAGTTGGATCCATCTCAAGTGATGAGCTGTCACGTTCTTAGGTGATGTTTATTGTGGTTCCCAGACACCTGTTTGACCTCAACAGCTATCATCTCCGAGAACTCTGAAGCATCCTGGAGAACTGTGGCTCAAAATCAAGCAAATTAAAATTCAGTACAAATCAAGAACTTAGTAACATCTTAAGATTTTTTCTCAGCTTTCTCACCTTCCAAACTGAGACATCCTCAGAGCATTATTATTGATGAAGGCAACATTTTATGTTCTGCTTAATACATAAATATGAATTCCAAGTATCGAAGAATTTGGAAGGGAGTGGAACAAACCAGCCTGAAGAGAATTTGGAGGGGAGTAATTATTATTTATCATTGGAGAAAATACATGGCTGGCAAACTACCTCATTTGAGTTGATCTCCACATCTGTGTAGCTTTTCATTTATAATAGTTCCTCCTGTGGGCTCTCAGGGGTTAATTCCTCCCCCCCCCCCCCCCCCCTCTCCCTTACATATGTCCCTAAATAGATAAGGATTGGTGGAGGATACCTCATTTAAAGAAGTGAATGAAGCCATTTTGCAAGTTTTAAGCTGATTGGGACTGTTCAGCTAATGGTGAATTACTTCCTCCAGAAAGTCAAACTGCACTAAAATCCACCTTTGGAGCTGCAGTGTTTGGGAGTGTTGCTGCCTCCCTGACCTACTCTTTTCTCTCCTCTTTTAATAGATTAGATTAGCAGAGCCAGGATAGGGAGCAGCTACATGCACAGCATAAGCCAGTAAGAGAGGCTTGGGGGTCAGGCAGGGACAAGGACTCCTGAGCAGTCCAAGCAACAGCATCCTTTACTGGATTAGAAGAGCACAAAGAAACACATCTTTGTGCACAGTTTTACTCTGCACAAAATGCCCTGTGTTAGAAAGGCCCAGAGGGTGGGGGAGAGGGTGGTTTTTCACATGTGTTTGATGTTGCTGTTCACTGAGGACAGTTCAGAAAAAGTAAACTATGTGCATCTTACACTGTTCACATCCTCACTTTCAGGCACGCAGCCTGCTGCCTCGAGTCACGTCCTCATTCCTTCCTCTGGATAGTAAATCTGGTAAATGTTTTCTCTCATCCAGTTAAAGTGAGCTTGTAGCTTACCTGTTGCCAAATGCCCAGTCACAGTTCATCATATCCACAGCTGGAGATATTTGGAGTTGTTCAGTGGACTGTACTGGAATTCAGAGCTTGTCTTTTCACAGGCAAGGAAACAAACTTTTTGAAAGCCCTGACAGGGCCAGGTTTTGTCAGCCAGGACAAGACAGGCTGTGTTACCTTGTGAGCATGTTGTGAACTGGTGCAATTAGACACGGAGTGTGTAATTCCACACTCAAGCAGCATCTGTGAATGGAGCTTTATTACTTCAGTCCCGTGAATAAAAGTGGCTTACTGGCTTACACCCACTGCAATAAATCCAAGCAGCTTTCCCTGCCTGCCTTTGGCTCACTGCTGCATTAGGCAGCAACCAACTTGTGTCCACCTGATACTGATGAATGACAAGTTTAACAAGATTTATCCTCCTTGTGTATCTTGTCTAAAGCTGCTGCCTTTAATCCAGCCACTGAGAAGATTATGCTTTACATACTGGAAAACACAAGGTCAGCGCTTTCATGGGGCTTGCCCAGAACTGGAATGTATGTCTGCTTACGAAAGTGAAGGAAATTAGTCTCTGGGAGGAAAAAAAAAGTGTGTAAAACTATTAACTGCTACTGTCTGATTTGTTCCATATCTCTTGCAGCTTGAATGAGAACTCATGGTCCAGCTTTCCAAGTCCACAAAATTACTCTACCTTAGCTCGTGAATTACCCAGCTTTGTTTCTTTTCCTCAGTCTTTTTTTCACACAGGCTTCTAAGGAGCTTTATTCAAAATATGTTACGTATCCTATTAAGAACTTTCTTAAATGCGTTTTCAGCATTTTATGATGGAAGAAACCAAATTAAGGTGCTGATTCTCAAACCAAAAATGGAGCAGCTTCACTTTGCTGCAGCATCACTCAGGAGTATGAAACATGTCAATAACAGAGGGGGTTTGAACTCCATCCAAATCTTTCTCTATCAAGAAGAGGCTTTAATTTAAAAAAAAAAATTAAGTGTGTTTCTTTTTTTCATTTTAAGATGCTGGAGCTCTTTAGCATTTGACAGGTTAATATTCAGTCTGATGCTTCAAATAATTAGGGTAAAAGCTGCCCATTTATGACCTGTAATGAATATTTCATTTTCTCTCCATATATGAAAACAGAATAAAAAATCAAATGCAATGAAAATTAACTGTAAGAATGACATTATCAATCTTGAAGAATAGCATTTATTAATATCACCTGAAAAATGTACCACATGCCACCTGCCACCATTTAGACCACTTCAGATACTTTACACAGCTGTAGTAAAATCAGTAACAGAATGTTTACAGTTAATCTCTCAACCAACATAGAAAGATTTATATATTTTATTGTAGCAGTAAAAATGCTCATCTTTGACTTGCCCTCAATAATGTGAGATACATGAAATCTAGATTCACAGACACATCTCCTCCCACTCCTTCCCACTCTAAAAACGAAGCAGCTGTTTTCTGATGGTGAAAGTCCCAGTCTGATTGCTGAGTGTTCACTGGTGGAAACATCTGCTTTTGCACATCCTGCTCCTCCACAAGAGTCCCAGAATTTAGCATGTTGCAAAGAAAACCTGCCTCAAATGTAGTCAATATAGTCTTCCCATAGTTTTCAGGAGTGTTGGGATCAAGGGTGCCTTGGTTTGTACATGCCAATGAACAGAATACCGTAAGAAGTCTTGAAATGATGTATCTTTTTGAGAATGTAATGAGAAATGAAAACAAGATATGTGATTACTAATGTAACTTTTGGTTTAGAAGGCATTGCTTCCAAAGGCAAAATCCCGTTAACAGTTCTCAAGAATACCCTTTTGCCCCGTTTTACTCTAAGTACTGCAAATTGATTAGGATCTCTGAAGTAAAAATTTAAGTGATGTTCTTCAATACCCTTTAGCACAGACAGGCCAAAAACTAATGAACCACAAGAGCAGTATCACCAAAAACTGACCAACCATGGGAGATGAGTCTGTGAGGTGCATCAAGGTGCACATGTAGCCAGGTCACTGTCAGTATGGATTGTGTTTGGGGATTCTGGATATCGGTTCAGGAACTTCTGCTTGAACACCATTTTTACCTGTTGGTTTCATTAATTCCCACACATTCTAGTCTCTGACGTTCCCAAAACAGTATGTTCAGTGAATGAGAGCTCAGGTTGAAAAAGAAGAATTCATAGTTGAGTTTCTGCTCTTATCCAATAAAAACTGGGTATACTGAAGAAAGTGACCAAGGGTATCCTGTATCAGCTGTATAAATTGTACTATTTAAGTGTTGCATGTAAGTGTTACAATCCCAAGTGGATTTGTGACTTAGTAAAAGACATTTAGAACCTTATTTTGGATTGGGCCTTGACTCAGATTTTCTTCATCCTAAAATACAGATAGTTAATGTCAAACTGAGTTGCTTGCAAGACAAACATCTGTTGTGGTTTTTCAATCTTGCAGCAGAAAGACAAGTTGGTATGTTGGTACAGAATTGATCATGTATAACTGAAGAAAATTGCTTATATGTAACCAGAAAGTACTGAAGTGATACAAGAATATATAAACATCTAATTACAAAATACGTTGTAGTAAAAAAATCCAGAGAAAATGTGATATTAGTGAAACTTGTCTGAAATGACCAATAAAAATATGCTGCTTAAATTAAGTATCTTATCAAAATTATTTCTTAGATAAAGTAAGCATGAAGGTACTATACTGTAAGAACTGTACATAGTATAAGTATGCTAAGGGGTAAATATTAGGCTTGAGAGAGACAGGGAGCTTCCTCAACCTTTGTTCTGTTCTTCAAGCTGAATTGTAGGTTTGGTTTTCTTTCATGGTAATGATATGTGTGTTAATCAGTATCTTCTAATCGGTCTTTTTAGTCTTCCTGTAGTGCAGGATTGTGGCTGTGACCCAAATATTGAGAATGAGCATGGTTATGAAACGGATGAGAACTAAAAGGGAAAAAAATATTGTAAGCATTAATAAAAAAAAAAAACCAACTTCTGTTATTTTCACAGGACAAGTTGTTTTGTAAACCTTTGCTGGTTCCTATTCTGCAACTCTTTTCAGCCAATTAAGTTTTAATTACTATATTCAGGAACCCAGAAATTCTGAGTGTCAGTAAAACAGAAAAGAGCATTTAGCACTTAATCGCTTGCAGCGATATCTGAAAATGATGCACTGCAGTACATTTAATTATTTTCTAACAAAGCCAGGAGAGTAGTACAAGTGTGAGTAGCCTCATATTAATTCTTATTTACACCAAAAGCTAAACTCAGAGTTGCAGATCACGTCCTTTAGAGTTGCATGTGTTGTTTATAATAAAGGGATTATTCTCTATTGCCATCTGTTAAGTGTAGCCATTGGGGAGACAGGAAATAACCTGTATGTGTCAGATTTTAATGATGGAAAATCTGACAATTGACAAAAAAATCAGTTTTTCAGTACCTTGAATAACTCAGCTCTTTTAAAAACCATAATAGGCACAGTACTTCTACCTGTAAGACTACAGTACAGGTTGAAGTACAGGTATGTCTAATGTCTGTTTGGAAACTGGAATATTCACAGAAATGCACAAAAAACTTTGTTTCAGAAGTATGAGATATTTGACAGTTCTGTACATGTGGATGTTACAAGTGTTACAATTGGAAACATTTTCCATTAGACCAGCACAGCATCAATGTTTGCTGCTGTCTCTTCCCTGTTCCAAAGTGGATGATGCTGGGTTTTATACAGTGGCTTTACCCAGAGCCAGTTTTACTCTCCTGGTGTTTCCTCCCTCCCCGCAGTGAACTCCTCTCACTTCTCTGTGTGTGTGTAGCTGCAGGTGAGATGGGCTCAGTACCTGACCCTGACTTAATTCCTGCACATGCATTCTGCCAAATTTTTAGTGACCCAGTTAACATCATGGCCCCAAGAACTCCTTACCCTGGCAAAAGGAAAGCAGCAAGCATAGGGGTGGAAATGGGGGATTGAAATGGGACTTCTTTTCCAGTGAAAGAGCTGCTTGAAATGCTTGTAAAGCTGTGGCCTTAATGTGCTGCTTAAAAAGGATAAAATTCATTCAAAGGATGCTTCTGATGAAACAGCGGTTTTGAACGAGAACAAGGAACCAGCAGATGAAGCACAAAGGGATTTTGTTACTGTTCTTGCATCCACCAAGTCTTGATTTTAAACCATTTATTGAAAAATCTGTTACACTCCCTAGCTCTTGCAGTATTCTCAGGATGGTAAGAACCTGTTAAGTAAATTTACTTCATAATTAAATCAGCTGCAAATTATATATTTTAAGTCAATTTTTGTGAGTTTCTTACCAGCCTACCATTTCATTTTCAGCCTGCCAAAACTTTCTGAATGTTGTGCCTAAAACTATTCATATACTAAGCTGAACTTCAGTTTTCTAGAAGAATTTTTAATTCAGAAAGCCCTCAATATGAAATAGAAGCACTTCCTATTTGAAAAATTCATTCAACTACTACAGAGTTTTTAAGTTATATTTTACATTTTTTTTTAAATAGTAAAGATTTTTAATGCTTTACTCTGTTAATTAATTTTATATTAATTATAAAATTATTAGAATTAGAATTAATTTTATAGTGCTTTTGCCAATTGAAAAAAATAATATCTTTTGGATCAGTTGTACCATGTGATAAGTGTGAGCAGTTTTTCGTGTTTGTTTTTTTCTTGATGTATTTTCCTGATTTGTAATCTTGTGCTACTTTTTTTGGCAACTCCTTCCCTTACCATGCTAACCCACCAACCACGTTCATGCTTTGTTCTTCTGCGACCTTTTAGCTGTTTTACAAAAGACCTAAAAACTACTGTGGCAGCTGTTCCCTTGGAAAGGCAGGCAGTTCCAAACTTTACTCACCTGCGAGATCATTTGTAGTCACTACAGTTGTAAATATTCTTGCTGTAAATTGAATGAATTATAATTAGTGGAACACATATGACACATTTATAATTTTAAAAAATGATGAAATATCTATTTTTCAACAGAGGGCAATCTTCCATGAAAATATACACTGTACAGATATTCCCACTTTTAGTACATCCAACTCTTCACTATTTTAGCTTCAGAGATCATGCTCTCAAAGGTGAGTGGCAATGTATTAAGGGTCTTTTTCAATGAGAAAATCACGGCCATAATTAGAACTTTTATATCTGTATCTATCACATAGATACAGATTGGATGTGGCCAGAGGATACTGCTTTTCTTTCTGTTCAGCCCCTCCTTCAGTAGTTGACAGTGACTTACACCCACAATCAAGTAACTTAACCATTGTGAATATCCTCGTGTGTGCTTTCAGCCTTCTGCAAATACAAGGAAATCAATTTTCCTTCCCACAGTGGACCTAAACGTTAATTAGTTCACATTTCCATCAGACTAAAAGCATTTACATTGTTCAGCAAACATACCAAAACTTCTAATTATTAACTTTCATGTGGAAGTAGATCCAGCATCACTGTGTTTTATAGTGTGAGAATATTTTAAACAAGTTTTGTGAAGATGAGAAAGGCACTGGCAAAGCTGTAGAACTGTTCATACAGACCACTGGGGAATTACCACAGGAACTCTACAAATCACTGTTCTTAAATTCTCTGTCCAGAAATGCAATTACACGTAGCCACAGAGTTAATGGTATTTATCAGTAAGTGTGTACTTATTTACAGGTAACTTCAAAATTAGCATTGCCTGATTGTCTAACTCAAGCGTTAGCACCTTTTCATGCTGGATCACTTGTAATTTTATTAAATCCTAGAACATGGAAATCTTTTCTTCATAAAGACAGCCTTTCAGTTATTTCAACTCAAGTTCCCTTGGCCACA